AGAAGTTGCCTAAGTCTAATAAGTTGTCATTGAAGAATTAGCATGTTTTGTCAAATGAAGTTAAAATGTATAAAAAAAGGATCGTTATTTATATTTTCATTTTTGTTCGAAAGAAAACATAGAATGATTAAAACTGGTTTTCCATCAGTAAGTCACAAAATTGTATTCCAGTCACATATATTAATCAAAGGCAGAAATCTTGAAATCTAGTCCTTGCTGAATGAACATTTAAGAATAAAGGGATATTAAAGAACATTGTAAAATAATAATTTATTGTTTATTTAAAACCTTTGAAGTTTCTGATGTCTACTATTTCCAGCATTACTGTTATTATTACAAAAATAAAGGTAATTTTTCTTCTTATTATACATCTATCCATTTATTTCTTTGGTTTAATTTCCACTTTGCTAATGAAATTTTTTATATAAGTTTCACTGTTTTTTTTTTGCTAGTTTGTACAATTTTCAACACAGCAACTCCGGTTGCGTATTGTATTGTTTTTACCTACTTTTTTGAAAAAAAGTAAAATGTATACGTGTATTTGATATGCCAAAATTACAAAATATCGCCCTAAAATGCACGAATTATCCGCAGCTAGCGCTAGTATCGCTTTTGCTTCCCTTTCCATGACTTCGCACGGATCGAATAATTAATGTACTCTTGTTTAAGGGGTTCAGAATAATTTTTTAATAGTTTTTTTTTTAGTTGGTCTCGTTTGTTTATAGAGTCTATGAGACCTATTGTAATCCAAGGTTTTAGCTTATTGTACCTTTTTTTAATTATTTGATCGCTTGTGCATGATTTAATAAGATCTATAAGGGTTTTAATGAATATATTATAAGAAAGTTGTGCGTTATTTTCCAATGTAACATTTTCCCACCTTTCATTTTTTAAGAGTTGATTTAATTTATAGTGATTAATTTTTTGAATAGTTCTTTTTCTATTACTTGCCTGATTGATTTATTTTTTTTAAAGTGAAATATGCATATGGTGTGAAATGGTCTGTCATATATGTACAGAAAATAATGGCTTCAGTTTTTATTTGATTTTTTAAACAACCTTCCGTTCTTATAAAAATATGATCAATGGCTGATTTTGAGTCATTTGTGACTCTGGTTGGTTTGTTTATATATGATATGAATCCATTATATCCTAAGGTGTTTAAGTAATTATTTGTATCATTACAGTCACTATTTAACAAATTAATATTTATGTCACCCAGGTATATTTCTAAGTTTTGTTTCTTTAATTGATCTAGGTAAATTTCTAAATCATTTAAGTAAGAAGATATTTTAGTTGAGGGGGATCTATAGTAGGCCGTCAATCCCACTTTATTATTATTTTTTAAATTGTTTGTCGTGAGAATTATTCTCAAAAATTTAAATTGATTAATTGGAGTAACCACAACCTCCGCCGAGATGTTGGTTTTTACGTAAACGACAACACCATCGCATTTATTTATTATTGATTCATTATAGTATTGAGTGTAATTTGGGATTGAGAAATTACTTAAACAATCAATTATTCCTGTTTCTGATAGTATAATTATATCTAAATACTCTTCTGCCATTTGAATATATATCTTTAATTCATCAAAATGTTTTCTTATACTTCTAATATTAAAATGAATCACTCCTAAACATAAGCTGCTGTCATCATTAACTCTCTTCTGAAAATAATCTTTAAAACTATTATATATTTTTGTTTCAATATGTTCATTATATATTACAATTTTCATTTTAACTACAAAGAAGCATTGAAGGATGAGGTATAGATAGATATTTATTTATTTTTTTATTAAAGTAGGATAAACCTAATATACAAAAAAAAATATTATAGAAATACAAATACAGTAAGTACACTTAAAACTTAAAGATAATTATTATTAACATTAACATAATCTGAGTGAAGAAAAATAAATTTGTTACACATTACAAAGATACTTTTAATATTGAGTTTAGACAGCCTTAATTAACAATAAAACAAATAACAGTTGAAGGCATGAACCCAAATATTAAAAAAGAAGAATAAAAAAGTAATAATCAAATATATAAAAGTTAAAATCAAATTTTATCAGTTTTAATAAAAGTTGTACATTTTTTTTTAAACTTGCTAATGAATTACAATCCTTCAAGCCCCTGGGCAGTTCATTATATTCTTGGAAACCTTTACACAATAACGATGCCTGTGATTTCGAATAATTAACTTTTTTAATGTATATATCGTTAGTTGATATTGTGCTGTAATCATGAATATCCCCATGATAACAAATAAATTGATGAAAATAGGATGGAGCCAAAGAATGAATTATTTTATAAGTAAACATAATTGTCAAGTAGTACAACCTCTGCTGAATCGAAAACCATTGAAGAGAATTTAACATTGTGGCAATTGGTGTAAGACGATTAGTTTTTAATATTATGCGCCTCGATTTTGTAGTTTTTGAAATTGATTTAACTTGTTGAGATTAAATAAATGAAGAATGGAGGCACAATAATCGAAGTGAGACTGAATAATTGTATTATATACTGTTATTTTAGTTGAAGTTGACAAGTTATTTGAAATTCTAGAGAAGAAATATATATTTTTTTAATATAATTAAAGAAATCATTAAAAGTAAGTACCTAGATTATCTACTTGGATACCTACATACTTAATAGTTTGGACTATTGCGATTTTTTCACCATTTATTTGTAAATTAACATCATTGATATCAAGTAAGCTATATTTATGTTTAGTTGTAAAAATAAGTGCTTTTGTTTTAGTTACATTCAATTTCAATTTGTTAAGTTGAAAATACTGGGCAACTTTCTCCAGTATTTTATTCATTTTCTTGATTGCACTCATGAAATTTATATCAGAGCGTGCTAGCAGAGTGTCATCAGCAAAGAGATTAATGAATTCACAATCAACAAACAGTCCAATATCATTCAAATATAGTATAAAAAGCAGCGGCCCTAGGACATTTCCTTGCGGTACCCCTCTGTCAATGTTAATCTTGGGTGATACCTGATTGTTAAAATGTACAGCTACTACATATTTATTCGCATCCATCCATTATTAATTTCTGATTTCAATTTATCAATTTTTACTAGTAGTTTGGGTATTAATTTTATTCCAGACTGACAGTCCTCACAGTAGAACTTTAGCAATCGTTTCCCTTTTAAGTCCATTACTTTCAACTCACTTGCATTTAATCCTGTACACTCTGTGTGTTGACCTTTGACAACTGTCGCACATCAAAACAGGATCACCAGTTTTTGTCTTGCATGTAACACATTCCATTTTAACAGATACTTGAGGTAGGAGCAATAGTCACTACCATAAAATGCTAATTACAGTGTTTATCAGCTTAATTTTTTTGGCACAAAAACAAGATAAAAACTAGTTTATATTTAAAACCTGTTGATTAAACTGCACTTTTGACTACAAAATAATGATTTTTACACTTAACAAACACTGCAATCCAATTGATTAAATCATTAGCTTTCCAATGGTATTAAGTTCTATTTTTTTAGTTAATAATTTCCATACAAAAACTTGGAATATTTGAAGAGCAAAGTAAAATGTGTGTGCGTTGAGAGCTGAGAAACTGTACATGTATAAATAAAATGTCTACCTCTTGAACCTGTAGGTACTATGTTCTGCAAATTAATGCACACCTTCCTTCTCTCTTCTTTTCATTAATTTCATGTATAGCTCAGTATTTCAGCTTCACGTTGATATCAAAATCATTTTTAAAATTGATCTTTTTCTAGTAAGTACTTAAATCTCTTTCAACACAGATCACAGAACGATTTGTTTACAAACAACTGTAGGAGTACTAAAAATTGTATCTGGAATGTCGTATTAAATATTGCTTTTTATTTTGATAGAGTAATATTTCTGCGTATAGTGGGAATAAGCACTACACACACATAACTGTGTAAAATCACACAAATCCATAATAAAGCATAAAGATGTTAGAAATGATTGGGTATATGCACATTAGTCAAAGTGAGGCGTTATAGGATGGTTATAATAATATAAGTCACAGTTATGTGATTTCACTCTTCTTGACTTATATACTTATTCCCACTATACAGATTTATTCTCAGAAATGCTCGACTTTAATGATCTAAAAACTATATTTAGAGGTCTTGCTATTCAATAATTTTTTATTTAATTGATAGTAGTATACTGAATTATTGGTATATAAATTGTATCTGTAATCTCATGATAAATTTGTTTTTTTTTGCTTCTTTAATTTTACAAAGTTAAAACAAATATATATTTTGAATTGTTGCTCGGTCTAATTTTTTATTTATTCAATTAACAAACACCTAATGACAATTTGGTATAAAAATTATATTTGGAATCGCATTGTAAATGTGTTTGTTTTACTACCGTCTTTCTGCAAGATAATCTTGTTTTAAATAATAATTCAAGTTGAATTAATCCAGTTTTTTCAATAAGTACAATAATGTACATTTATTTGTAAAGTTTCAAGATACTAAACCATTCTAAACCAAAGATTTTGCCAAATAATATTAAAACATTAAGGGACCACCATGTGGTTTGTCTGCTAGCTTCAGCCTCATTAAAATCCAGCTATAGTGACAAAAATTCGTAAACTTTTGGAACCACGCTATGTATGTGTATTTTTATTATATTACCTACATCATAAGGCTAAAAAAATTGTCAAAAAACTCAAATTAAAAAAAATTGAAGAGATATATTGTCGAGTATATTGTATTAAACGGTATAAGTGTTGTTTAAATCATTTACAACAAAAATAACTGTTCATTATTGATATTTTACCTAACAGTCATTATAATTGTTGTTATTCTATCAATTTTACCAATGACCACTAAATAGTAAAGTAGCAAGAACAATTAAAAAAAAAAAAGACAAGATCCTAATATTTGTAGTTATCCCCAATAAGTACAAAATGGGAAATTATTCTTGTGAACTTTTATTGAAAAACTGAAAACATTCATATAAAACTAAAATTAACTCACCTTGTTGACTAATTGCATTGTATTTTGGATCACGGTAAGATAGAAAGGCAACCACAATATATGAGCCTGGATCTGGTGAAGTAATATTAATAAATGCCTCCTTTTTATTTGTCTGTATTTCTAAATTATGTAAAGGACTCCTGGTTATGTTTTTAAATAATTTTGGAAAAGGCGATCCATCTGGATTAATGACTGGAGCAGCTCCATGTTTCATATATATGGAAACATTTCTGATTGTACATGCTAAAATAATATATTTATTGATGGCTGGTTTTTACCCGCATGGATTACATTATTTATACATTCAAATAATAGTGAGACAATCGGTTTTAAAAGTTCCAGAAACTTATCAGTTAAATATCTGAAAAATAGGATGAGAAATTCCTTGGAAATCCACAAATAAACGTCAAAATGAAATAATGAAAATTATTTTAGGATCAAGAAATACTTATATAGGGAATTTATAATAACTAAATAAATAAAACCTGAAAGGAAAATTAAAATACCCACTGTTTTTTTATAAATACACTATAGTAAATAATTTTTAGTTATTAGTACAATATCCAAGTAGAATAAATAAACATTTTACTTATCTCTAATATGCCTTATTTATTTTATCTTTGTCTCGATCTTTGTTCATACTTATCATTGATTTGTTAAAAAAATAGAATCTATAGTCACACCATATGACTAAATAATTTTTCAGTTTTATGGGCCATAAAGGATATATAAAGTTATTAAAACATTTTTAACTCCTACATAATATTTCATTTTATTTGTACTGGATAAGAAATAATAAAAATGTTTCTTACAGAAAATGGACATGCGAGTTTCATCAGCCATAAATTTAAATGAAGCAAATATCGTATCCTGTGGTATATGCAAATGGATCATATCTACATCTTTATAGCTTTTGTATTTTTCCAAAGGAGAGGTAATAGATCTTGATGTAATAGTAACATAACTATTTACTAAATTATAAATGATACAAAGTACAATGAAACTAAAGAACTTCTTGAACATGATGTTACTGAAACAAATTAAAAAGCGGTTTGAGACAAAATTATTTACATCCTATGTCACAACTAGGAATAATTGATAATAACAGCAGTCTTGTAATACCTTATATTAGTACATTATACTCTTTTCCGGAACTGTTTAATTCAATTACTTGAATAAAGCAGTAGGTTTTCTACATTATAGCAACATTTCTTCTATAATTTTTAAGAATAATAAGTAATTATTTGTTAAAACCTACGGTAAAAACCCAACTTGAGTTGTAAATAATTGGCTTATACTTTGACAACTGTAACCTTGATGAATGAGGTTAATTTTTGACAGATCAATCGATGGAACTGAATTGTGAAACAGTAAAGGTCGCTGCTAAAGAAAATTTCGAACTACTACAGTCTAGCCAGTATACGTAACAAATTGGATTTATATTGAGACCAGAATTATTTTCTCTTATTTCACCATTAGATTTCATTTGCTGATATCTACCTATACGGTGTCCTTACCTACTATTGTTGATATTTCTTAAACGGTAACAGATAATGGGTCCTATGATTGAACGTTTATGTTATCCATAACGTACATGTTAGGTCGAATTTTAACAGTAACGAAGCAAGTTTGTATGATGGAAAACTGTTAAATTAGAACATAACAGGCGGAAAATAACAGTAATGTGTTGGAAACCGTTTTTCATCATACGAACTTGCCTAATTACTGTTAAAACTGAGCCTAACAGGTACGTTACGGATAACGTTTATGTTATCCATAACGTACATGTTAGGTCGAATTTTAACAGTAACGAAGCAAGTTTGTATGATGGAAAACTGTTAAATTAGAACATAACAGGCGGAAAATAACAGTAATATGTTGGAAACCGTTTTTCATCATACGAACTTGCCTAATTACTGTTAAAACTGAGCCTAACATGTACGTTACGGATAACGTAAACGTTCAATCATAGGACCCATGGGGTCCTATGATTGAACGTTTACGTTATCCGTAACGTACCTGTTAGGCCGAATTTTAAAAGTAACGAGGCAAGTTCGGATGATGGAAAACTGTTAAATTAGAAGATAACAGGCGGAAAATAACAGTAACGTGTTGAAAAAAATTTTTCATCATACGAATTTGCCTCATTTCTGTTAAAACTCGGCCTAACATGTACGTTACGGATAACGTAAACGTTCAATCATAGGACCCAATGGGTCCTATGATTGAACGTTTATGTTATCCATAACGTACATGTTAGGTCGAATTTTAACAGTAACGAAGCAAGTTTGTATGATGGAAAACTGTTAAATTAGAACATAACAGGCGGAAAATAACAGTAATGTGTTGGAAACCGTTTTTCATCATACGAACTTGCCCAATTACTGTTAAAACTGAGCCTAACATGTACGTTACGGATAACGTAAACGTTCAATCATAGGACCCAATGGGTCCTATGATTGAACGTTTACGTTATCCGTAACGTACCTGTTAGGCCGAATTTTAAAAGTAACGAGGCAAGTTCGGATGATGGAAAACTGTTAAATTAGAAGATAACAGGCGGAAAATAACAGTAACGTGTTGAAAAAAATTTTTCATCATACGAATTTGCCTCATTTCTGTTAAAACTCGGCCTAACATGTACGTTACGGATAACGTAAACGTTCAATCATAGCACCCAGAAAGTTGGTAAAATTGGACAACAGTTGGGCAGTTTTGTGCTCATTTAAATGGTGCCAAGAAACCTTTTTAATATCTACAGGGAGATTCAAAATATCGGACATAAAATTAAAATTGTCATTTCTTTAAATGCATTCATGTTTTATCCGAAAAAACGAGAGTGCTCGCCTTCGGCGAGAGTTATGACCTCAGTACTCACTCCATGCAGTCTTTCTTTTTTTTTTCTAGTCTCTCTATTTAAATCCAAAATTTACGTGATAGTTGTACTTGTAAGAATGCCCATGTTCTACCTTGAATTCCCTAGTTCAATGTAAGGCATCGACTGGAGTAATAACCTGAATGTTTGTTTTATTTCCAAACGTGTGTTTCCTTTTGAATTTTTAATTTAAAACATTAAAAATACTTTTTCAAATTTTAAATTTTAAACAACTCTGTGGCCAAATTTTCCATCAAATGCGGTTGTAGTAATGGATAATGGCACCCGTGCAATTTCCGACAAACAGGTGAAATACCGAAAGCTCAGAACTATTACCCAGACGGCACACCAAATCCTTTGGATATCTACTGAACATCCCAATATCCACTGAATGTCCAGTCCATGGTAGATATATATTTTATATCCATGAGATGTAATTTATAGACATGCAAATGTCCATATAGTAATTATATAGCAAATTATTAAAAAATTACGCCGTTGTGCTCGCCATTGTGGCTAATAGTACCGTTCAGATATTTAAAATTAATTTTTTTAAGGTGTATTCAATATCCCATGAACATCCACTAAATATATCAAAGTCTAGGCGCGAACGCAAACCATCGTGGATGTCCACTAGATGTTATTTGATTCTGCTTACTAAGTATAGATGGCGATACCACTATCGCATCTACTCGTCCTGCTCGACCCACCGTAATAGAGTTCGATTGAAATTTTTGTCCTACAGACTCCATATTAGAGACTGGAATCGAGAATTTTCATTTATTGCTAAAGAGTCCTAATAAGGATGACTTTCTCCTTAGTGGGCAAAATCAAAGGCAGAGTGTTGAAAATATTTTGAGTGTTGAAAATATTTTTTATCTCTGCTATTTTCTTTCGACGTTATTCAATAATCATTGGTTACTTATGAACCTCTACTAAAGATACCCATAAAATATTTTGTTGAATATCCGAATTTCTTCTATATCCTGGGATATAGACGGACATTTGGATGGATATCCATATTGGATATCTACAAAATATATTCTGTGGATATCTCTGTGATTTCTTGTATGATACCCATTAGATATTTTGCTGAATATCCATTAGGATATCTTCTATATCCTGGATATAGACGGACATTTGGATATCCATATTAGATCCACGGAATATTTCTGATATCCTGTGGATATATTGGATATCCACGAAAGATATTCTGCGGATATCTCTGGGATTTGGTGTGTTGTCTGGGAATTGTGTTTGCTATGTCAAGAATATTGAAAATAATTATCGAATATATCTGAGCCATTCTTGCATCATAAATCTGGAAGACACGTCAAGTAAATATGACAGCGGTAATGATAATTCTTGATTTTTTATTTTTTTTTGTTTTCGATTTACTTAATCGATTTTACTAAGAATTAATAAACTCAAAATACCTCTCATATAATTTTTTTTTATCTCTTTTAAGGTATTCCATATACCTAATGTAGGCAAACAGAATGATCTTATTAAATCATATATTAAAGTCCGGCACTGTGCTTGCTCACAGCTAAATTCTTTTGAAAGTGAAACAGCGAAAAATAAAATTAACTCAGCCTGCACAGAATAACTAAAAAGTATTATGTGCAGCCTGTACTATTGGTAACTAATGTAATAAATAGTAGAAGCAACGAAAGTCAATGTAAAAAGAAGACGATTATAACCTTTCCCAGACTTTCTTCTTCTTCTTCTTCTTCTTCACTTAACCTAACAAAAGAAATTACAAATTATGAAAATATAAATTTAACTTTTTAACAGGACATTTTGTAATTATGAATTCTCTTAACACCCTAAACATTAGGCTCAGGAAACCTATATTTAATTATATCAAAAGTAAGTTTATATTCGCTATGGAATATTAGTTTTAAATAATTTTATTTTAGGATGTTTATCAGATGATATTAAACAACAAAATGATATTTTCACGGCGGAACAATCTCGACAAAAAGAAGCAGTAGGGCGTATACAAAAAATTGAAATTAACTATGGAGGACCAGTAGAAAATGAACTTTTAGTTATGAACAAAAATATTTCAACGCCCTATGATTGTGCTAAACGTAATAATATTTAATTATAATAATGATTTAAACGTGGTTATTTCGTAGCAAATAAGCAATACTATGTTGTATACTTCAAGACGACACATTTTACACAAAAAGTTAATTCTCTAGCATTCACTCAGTTTTCACAATAACTTAAATATTAGGAATTCCAAGGACCTGTCAAACAATAGCTGCCAGTGGGAAGATCTGGTATATCAGAGGGTATAGAGACATAGTCAACATTATTCGAAATAATAATAATAGTTTATTTGTCCTTTAGGATCATGTTACATGATATAGGATAAGTCATAATATATTTGAATAAAAAATATTAAAATACAAATAAATATAAATACAGTATACAAAAAATATATATATATCTAAGACATGCACATTTAAAATATACAATTAGAAAAACATGTACCTTAAAATATGGTGGTATTCAGATAAATTATAAAAACATGAATCTACTAAATAGTTTTTAAGTTTTCTTTTAAAAAGTTCATATTTCTTTTCAGAATTAATGAAATCAGGGAGTTGAATAAAAAAATTTAATTCCAACAAATTCAGGCGATTTTTCAAATAAGGCTGTTGAATGTCTTGGTGTTCTGAATAAATTTGCATTCCTAGTTGAGTATTCATGGTAATTTTTGAATTTGGTAAACATTGGTGTATGTTGCGTTTAGCATATAGCAATGTTTTATAAATGTAAATACAGGGAAATGTTAATATTTTAAATTTTTTGAAGTTATATTTACAAGTTTGCATTAATTCTAGATTAAAAACTATTATTTTCTGTAAGATAAATACTTTAGATGCATTGACTGCATCACCCCAAAGAATAATGTATGATATATGAGAATATGCTAAAGCATAGTAGACATTAAGCATTGATGTTAATTTTAGTATTGCATAGTATGCCCTGTTTAATTTTTTACAAACATTAGATATTTGGCTATCCCAACCCATATTGCTATCAATATGTATGCCCAAAAATGTTGTAACATCTGAGAGCATAATTTCTTCATTATTGACATTTATTTTACAATTCTGGGTAATTTGATTTCTGGAGTAGAACTGAAGGCAAACGGTTTTGTTTGAATTAACAATTAAAGAATTTCTATAACACCATGATGTAATCTCATTAGATAAAACATTTAATTTACTAATTAATTCATCTACTGATTGTGCATTGGTGTCATCTGCACATAAAATTATGTTTCCTGAGTTAATATGATTAGGCATATCATTTATGTAGCATAGAAAAACTAGAGGTCCTAAAATTGATCCCTGAGGCACACCCATATCAACACTTTCTAGTTCAGAATTACAATTTCCGACTTTCACATAGATCTGTCTGTTATTTATATAAGATGACAACCAAGACAAAAAGTTACCTCTAAAACCAAGCCCTTCCAATTTTTGAATAGCGACATCTAAGTTGATTGAATCAAACGCCTTTGATAAATCAAAGAAAAGCGCAACCACAAACAACTTTTGATCGATAGAAGTATGTATGAAATTAAAAAGATCTATTGCTGCACTTTCAGTAGATTTTTATGGAAGGAATCCATTTTGATTTTTGCATATTATTTCATATTTTTTAAGAAATATTAGCATTTTTTTGTGGACACACGTTTCAAAGATTTTGCTTAAGATTGTAGGCACTGTAATAGGTCTATAATTATCAATTAAATTATTATCATCTTTCAGATAATCTGGGAAAACACCTAGCTGAATAGACTGATTGATTAAGTCTGCTAGAATTTGAGAGATGTGATGACTAATACGTTTTATTATCTTTGTGGAAATGCAGTCAATACCCATAGAGTTAACATTTTTTAATGAGTGAATAACTTCAATTACATCACGATGATCAACAGGAGAGAAGTAAAAGGTCTGGGAGACACATGACGCAGTAAAATTTTTAAAATTCAAATCATTGAAATCAGACTGTAGTGCCTTTTTTGTGGAGGTGGCAAAATGCTCTGCAGAAACTTTAGCTATTTGTTTTGGTTCAATAATTAATAATAATAATAATAACGGGTCTTTATTTGCACAAAATAATTACATTTTTGTACAGATAGCATGGGCGAGGTTTAGCCTGTGGCTATTCTTACAATTGACAGTCCTCCTACTTCAATTTGTTTAATTTGAGAACCTTTTGATGTTTTACCATCTTGGTGTTTTACCTGTTTCCATAGGCGAGTTCGGTCAGTCAGGGGCTGGAGCAGGACAAATTTTAGGGTGCTTTTAAATGACATTTAAGCGTGTTAAACTGTCACTAATCGGACTAAACCTAACGCTAAAAGGGTCGTTTGGAGTTAAAAGTGTTAAAGGAGTTAAAGGAACTTGGCAGACCGAACGCAATGCATATATATTTTTGTTTTTGCTGAATAGTTTTATTGTGCAATCCTTTTGAAAATGAGTTTTTTTTGCTCCATTTATATTATTGACATATTGTCTCTTTGCTTCTTTGTATCTAATATGTATATTCACATCATTAGAATTTTTTACTAACCAAAATAAATTCCTTATATCAGCTTCCATCCTCAAAATATCTGGAGTTATCCAGTTATTTTTTTTATTTGTCTTTACAGCTCTTGTGACAACCGGACAATTTACTTCTATATAGTAATTTAGAATATTTAAGAATGTTTCATAGGCAATGTTATCAAAATATTCATACACAGAATCAACATTTTTAGAACTTATTTTTTGCTGCAGATTAAGAAAATTCGCCTCCGATAAGTCTCTAAAATGTATTTTTTCATTGATATCAGTTACATAACATTTTTCTTTTATATAATTTAATAACATGTCAATTGCTAGGTGATCTCCAATACAGAGGTCTACCAGGGTTTCCGTATATGTAGAAAGGTAGTTTTTGAGAAAATAATCAATTTTAGTACGCGACGTTTTACCATTTTTGTCAGTACAAATTCTAGTTGGTTCTCTATTTAAACAACGCAAGTTAAAACACTCCATCAAATCAACTAATAAAACTTTTTCTCGTGAATCTTTTAAAAAAATCAATATTGAAATCTCCACAAATTATGATAAATTTGAAATGACTATAATAATTAAGAAGCATATACATCTTATTAAAAAACGTATCAAGATTACCTGTTGGGGCCCGATAAATAGTTAACAAACAATACCTAAGTCCATTTAAACTAAACGTAATTGAACAACATTCAAAATTTAACTCTTCACTTTTGTCAGTAATAAATCGCGGTATATCATACAACAAAAATTTTTTTTCAAGTATCAAGACACCACCATGATCCTTATCAGTCCTATTAAAGAATGCGGCCTGATGGTATCCATCAAAACAAAATATATTGATATTATCATCATGACACCAGGTCTCCGAAAAGCATAAGATATCTGGCGATTTTTGATTTATAATTAATTCAATCCAGTTAGTTTTATTTGTTAATGACTGTACATTTACATATATTATCCTAAACTTAACATCCATATCATGATTGTTCACAAATTTACCATTTATGTACTTGCCAAGCCTGCCAATTTATGAAAAAAATGTATAACTGGTGTTTTTAAATATTTTTGTGTTTTAGACAGAATACATCATATGTCGCACTCCTTAGATATACCAAATCTTCCTACTGGCAGATCATTTGTTTGGAATGCCTAATTAATGATTATTTATTTATGGGCCAGAGCCCATTAAAACAATACAATTACAGAGCATACATATTACATACATTAAATAGTAATAAAATCCTAAATAATAATAAATTAATTTGAAATACATAAATATTAAAAACAATTAAAAATCTACTCCTCACATATACATAAATGGTTAGAAAAATCTGATGGAGAAGTAATCCATTCTACATTTAGTCTGTTAGCAGATCTTGTCACTCTAGGAATAAAAGAGTGAGAACCATAATTTGTTCTATGGAAAGGTTGGGAGAATGTATTAATATTCCTAGTTACTCTAGAGGGTACAGAAAATCCAATTTGGGATAACAAGTAGGGACAATCGGCAGATGAGTTAATAATGTTAAACAATATTTTAAGATCCCTTTGGTTTCTTCTGCTGAGAAGGGTCTCAAGATGACAAAGTGTGTAATTGGCCATAATTGTATCTGAAGTTGACTTGGACGATACCCGATTTAAATGCAACAATGCGTAAAAATTTTTTTTAAACCTGTTCTATATTATGGATTAGATATACATAAAAAGGATTCCATACAGAAGAAGCATATTCAATATAAGGTCTAACTAAGGCACAATAAAGAATCTTTAAACACATCACATTATGAAAATCAGAAGTAGTTCTTCTAAGGAAACCCAACATTCTTAATGCTTTATTAACTGAGGCCGTTATACGAGTTTGAAAAGAAAGGGTGGAATCTAATATCACACCCAAATCTTTTACCTCTGTAATAGTATCCAGTATTATGTCATTGATTTTATAGATATATTCAATAGGACTATGTTTTCTGTTGAAATGGATTGCATGACATTGACTTGTATTTAATATCATTCCATTAGTACTACACCATTGGACCAAGTTATCCAAGTCTTTTTGAAGGCAAATACAATTATGTAAGGAATTTACACGCATGATTAATTTTAAATCATCAGCAAAGCAAAGGAACTGAGAATTCTTAATACAATTTTGGATGTCATTGTTGTATATATTAAAAAGTAGAGGTCCCAAATGTGACCCTTGAGGGAGACCAGATGTAGCGGTAAAGCCAGAGGATAAGAAGCCAGAAACACTAACAATTTGAATGCGGTTTGTTATAAAGCATTCGATCCATTTCAGAAGATTACCACCAATGCCAATGTTAATAAGCGTTCCAATCAAGCAACTGTGGTTAACCCTGTCGAATGCCTTTGAAAAATCAGTGTATATAGCATGAACTTGATCATTAGAATCCAAGGCATTCGATAAGTAATCAACATAAGACAACAGGTTAAGTTCAGTGGACTTTTTGGAACGGAAACCAAACTGCTGATCTATGATGAAAGGATCAAGCAGTTTTGATAAATACTTTGTAATAATACTATCATATGGGTAACAACACATTAAAGAACGTTGATCTATTGTTTAACAAATTTAAATTGTTACCTTTTAATTCCTAATATATGACACGAAGAAAGATTTCAGTTAAATACAATAATTTGTGGTTGTGTGTTTTATAAACTTTTAACGAAAATTAAATTAGGCTCATTTTTAAACATTTTATATCTCAACAATATTCAACATTATTGTTTCAAAGTCAACATGGTTACCTAAATATGTATTAATTTTATAGATTTGGGCGATTCTATATGCAACAAATCCGTAGTTGCTTTGCTAAACGGAGAAACGTTATGGCACATGCACAAACCTTTGCCAGATTCCTGTAAAATAGAGTTTCTTCATTATCATGTATCAAACCCAGCTCTAGTAAATAAAACTTTTTGGAGAAGTTGTAGCTTTCTTTTGGGTGCCGTTGTTTCAGAAGCTTTTAAAGATAATGTTAAATTGTATTTACATAGTTTTCCTAGTCCGAATGGTACGTATAATAATGGTGTTCTTACCTATAGGTTGTAAATTAAATATAAATATCTTTTATCATATTTTATATAATATAGTCACTGAAACAATTTTTAATAAATGTTTATTAAAACAAGCATGACTGGTATCTAAAATTAAATAAATGCTTTCTAATTATCCTGTAACATACTTAGGTACCTAATAACATGTTAGTAAACATTTTTTAACATTTTATTTGTATTTATAGAAAATTAAATATAAAATTGATTAACAAAGACAATAAACTTTTAGGGCATACGAAAATGGACTTCTTGAACATGAATTTTTTTAGTTATATTAAATAATGAAAAAATAATTAAGCTCAAATTATCTATTTAAATTGTAAATTTTTATTATCTTTCATTTGGTTACTTCTACTAAGCTCTGCTCGTCCCACAAATATTCGCTAGATACATAAAATAAGGCATTTCATAACTGGTTTTATAAATAGCTATCACTATATTTTGTTAAATATTCAGTATTTAACTCAAATATTGATAGCTATGCAAACTTAAAAAAAAACTTTTTAGTGAAATCTGGCAGTTTCGTTTATGACGTACAATTAGAACTAGAAGACTGGAAACCCACCACATCGGAATTAAAAGTATTATCAATCGAAATGATAAAGTTCTGCCAGCAGGAGCTTCCCTTGGAATGTTTGGATGTCTCGAAAGATTTGGCATTTGAAATTTTCAAAAAGAATCCCCACAAAACCAACCAAATACCAGATATAGCAGAAAATAATGGCGATAAAGTGACATTATTTAGAGCTGGTAACCATATAGATATTTCCAAGGGACCCATGGTACCAAACACTAACCATATGGGTAGAATAACTGTCGCCAATGTTATAAAATTAAATACTGATATTGCTGGTGGGCCTATTTACAGGTTTCAGGGTGTAGCTCTACCGAGATCTTTAATTTTGAATCATTTTGCCTTTGGGGTACTAGAAGATCGTGCAAAGTTATTGGTAAGTTCTTCTAATATAAGGAAGAATTAAAGGATATAATTAAAAACAGTAGATTGCAATATTAAATATACATTTATCTGATTTAACTATTAGCTACCCATTTCTGAATTTAAATCTTTTTCATGATTCGTAAAAGTTCTATAATATAAATTGGTGTTTTTGTTTTAGAATCCTGCACGAATTCCTGGAACTCAAGTAGTAGATAATGAAGATAATAGTTTCGTAGCTAGTATGACGGCGTAAACAGAAAAGTTTTTAATAAATTTAATAAAGTATAACAGTTTTTTTTATAATTTCTACAAAACCTGTAAAACTATACCAGTCTTTGCAGCTCTTGTGTTTTTATTTGAAGAAGGAACCTTATCCTTTCTTTCTTGGAGGAGATATAATTAGAAGTAGACAAAATAATCAATTAGTAATCGAGTGTTTTTAGAAATTTCATAAATACTTGATTAAGTGAATAATCAAAACTAAACCATTTTAATTAAATATTTTAAATAATAAATTATTTCTATCGATGAATCTAAATTATAAAACGATCGTTTGATTACCTTATTAATATGTAATTAAATTAGATTTTTAGTAATAATTGAAAAATAACAATCGAATATTAGATAGAAATCAACTAAATAATATTGAGTCCGATTATTCGGAAATATTGTACTGAAATAACTGATTAAAGGAAAATAATCGTTCTCTCGATTAACCGAAAACAATCAATTAAATAATCGATTTACCGAAAATAATCGATTATTTTTTATTAATCGAAAACCATCGATTAATTGAATATTCTATTAATTAAATAATCGATTACGCGAAAATTTACGATTAATTGAATAATCGATTTTTTTTATTAATCGATCTCCTAATTAAACAAAAATAATCGATTTTCTGTTATACAATACAATAACTGATTAATGGAAAGTAATCGATCTCTCGATTAATAGAAAATAAAATCGATTGATCTAAAATAATCTAATTGAATAATCGATTCATCAAAAAATCTATTATTTTTAATTAATCGATTTACCGAAAATAATTATTTACTTTGGTAACCTAATGATACATATAACGTTATGATTTATCGCAAATAATCGATTGTTCTAAAATAATTTATTAGTCGATTCATTGAAGATAATCGATTGTTTTTAATTAATCGAGAATTCTCGAATAATCGTAAATAACCGATTAATCGAAAATAATCTATTGAATAATCGATTCTTAAAAAAACGATTTTTAATTAATCGGTTAATCTCAAATAATGGATTATTTATTTTGATAATCTCCGAGCCCTAATTATAAATATAACATTTGTATCTCGATTAATAGAACATAATAGATTGGTCTAAAATAATCGATTAATTAAATAGTCGAATAATCTAAAATAACAGAGTATTTTTAATTAATTAAAAATAATCAAACTCTCGATTAATCGAAAATAATCGATTGTGATTAATGGCAAATAATCGATTAATTGAATAGTCGATTCATTATTCTCGATCGATTGTTTTTAATTTCTGCATTAATCCTAAATAATCGATTAATCGTTAATAATTAATTAATCGTAAATAACCAATTAATCTAATAATTGAATGATCGATTCACAAAAAACAATTATTTTTAATTAATCGGTTAATCTCAAATAATGGATTATTTTTTATTTGGACAATCTCCCAGCCCTAATTATAAATACAACGTTTATATCTCGATTAATCGAAAATAATCGATTTATCTAAAATAATCGATTAATTGTATAGTCTATTATTTGATTAATTGAATATTCGATTAATTAATAAAATCGATTACGCGAAAATATATGTATAATTGAATAATCGATTTTTTTTATTAATCGAAAATCGATCTCGTAATTAATCAATAATTGATTCGTCGAAAATGATGGATTGTTTTGTTATACAATAACTGATTAATGAAAAAAAAATCGATTAATTGAATAGTAGATTATTTTTAATTAATCGAACTCTCGATTAATCGAAAATAATATATTGATCCACGCATCGAAAATAATCTAATAATTGAATAATCAATTCATCGAAAAAAATCGATTATTTTTAATTAATCGAATTATTTATTTTGATAATCTCCCAGCTCTAATTATTAATATAACGTGATTAATCGCAAATAATTGATCTAAAATAATCGATTAATTAGTCGATTCATTATTATTGATGAATCGATTATTTCCGATCTATTGTTTTTAATTAATCGATATCCTAATTAATCCTAAATATTCGATTAATCGAAAATAATATATTAATTGAATAATCAATTCATAAAAAAAGGATTATTTTTAATTAATCCGTTAATCTCAAATAATGGATTATTTATTTGGATAATCTCCCAGCCCTAATTATAAATACAACGTTTATATCTCGATTAATCGAAAATAATACATTTATATAAAATAATCGATTAATTGAATAGTCTATTATTTGATTAATTGAATAGTCGATTAATTAATAAAATCAATTACGCGAAAATATATGTATAATTGAATAATCGATTTTTTTATTAATCGAAAATCGATATCATAATTAATCAATAATTGATTCGTCGGAAATGATCGATTTTTTGTTATACAATAACTGATTAATAAAAAATAATTGATCTCATGATTAATTTAAAAAATCAATTAATTGAATAGTCGATTAATCTAAAATAATCGATTATTTTTAATTAACCGAACTCTCGATTAATCGAAAATAATATATTAATTGAATAATCCATATATTAATTGAATAATCCATGCATCGAAAATAATCTAATAAATGAATAATCGATTCATCGAAAAAAATCGATTATTTTTAATTAATCGATTCATCTAAAATATTCGTTATTTATTTTAATATTCACCCAGCCCTAATTATAATTATTAGTGAAAAGTCAAAACACAAAAGTGTATTGCGCATGCGCGAAATTAAATCAACTAATTCGCCTGAATTTCTTACAAAGGCAAAAATTAGTACAAGAAAGAAACAAATGTTTACTGACTTTTATAAGGCTTAAATGATATTTTCGTTTCATTAATTTCTTATTAAATTAAACTTGTGAAAACATTACCAAAAAATCCAACTTATTTTACAAATGATTTGCCTTTAGAAAAAGTGCTTTTGAAAAACATCCAGGATAGAGATTTAACTGTGTGTCTTCTATGCTCAAAGTCGACTACTTTTCATCATGACTTTTCACTACTTATGTGACATGTCCGTCGGACTAGTCCAAAAATTACTTTTCATGAAAAGTCCCATCTCTAATAATTATTATTATAACGATATGAATTAAAATAAGATACTGTAAAGAAAACAAAATACAATTTATTTAAACGACAAAGTATTTAATAATAAATCACAAAATACAAATCTCGATTGGCTTATTTTAAAAATAGAGAGTCCCTTCAAAATATTCACAAAAAAAAAATCAGTTTAAACTAAAGATTCGAATTAATTTTTGATGTAGAGTATTTTCACATTGTTACATAAGTTGGAGTTGTCATGACACCGCAATTGTTGTCCCTGGCCGACATTAAAACGTAGCCATCGTTTCCCCAGTAATTGGACCAACTGTTTTTGATCAACCAATAATCTTGTCCCTTTATGGTACCATAACCCACGGCCAATACGGCGTGGTCTAACTCGTCCTCTTTGTTACCACTGAAAAGAATATTAGTTTTGTAACGTTTTTTTTTTAATAAACGATGAGAAGGTGATTGAATTAATGCTGCAAAGTCTAAAAATCGACCATCTTTATAGTGTTTTTTTTTATAAATATAATGAAAACAGTCCTCCCTCCCCGCCCCGATCAATTTATAAAGAATAAATCTGCATCTCAAGTCTATCTTTACATACAGATACTGGAAAAATTCCTGACCTAATAGGCTTCATAGTCAAGGGTAATATGACGAGATCTTAATAAATAGTCGACTATTTTTATTGTATCTAAATTTTGAGTGTTTTTGATATCAATTTGCTGAGACATAATTTTGTCAATAATAATCTGAAAAAATTAGTTGAAAATTTAACTATGCAAAATTATTGGGCTTTTAATCCCAATAATACAGCCTTCATCCTGTTACAAGTTGAAACTATTTTTGTTATTAAAGAGACAAGAAATTAATACCACAAAGGAATAAATAATATAATTATCATATCTTTGCAATATTTAAAATCATATATCTACCTAAATTTCCACCACCTCATTAAATTTTATATTGGGTGATGAATTTTAATGACAATATGGCTCATTTTAATGGTAAATAAAGTATTTACTTAATATTTACCATTTTGGGTCGTAATATACTCCATTAGAATAGAAACTGAAAGTTCTGTGACTAGCATCAATTGCGACACTGATGGGGCCATGACGGACTATGGCTAATCTCAGAGCATTTTCGTCATTACTTGTGACATTTACCCATCCAGTGATTTTCGCTACTTTAGGTACCTTCCCAGCGTGGCAATATCCGTCCTAAAAATAATTTATTAGTATTGGTACATTCTTAAAATATTTAGGATACTGTACTTGACCCAAATATGGACCATAATCTTCTTCTGTTGGAATACCGCCATGCTTAAGCATCCATTGGTACGCTCTGAAATCTTCACCGCCATCACACCCATTATTACCATAACTAAAAATATTTGATCATAAAGTAGAAAAAATAAATTAATTTTTGTAAAAATATGTGGAACTTACCCCCAAGAGCAATCTATAAGTGCCTGTTGAGACAATCTAACCAGATTTCCTCCGTTTTTCAAAAAATATGCTCCTTCTATTGCTCCTACAGTACCAAATGACCAACATGAACCACACACAGATTGGTCTAAAAATAAAAAAAATATTGCTTTGAGACTAAATAACTCGGTGATATTAACAATATAAATGTCTGATGTGTTTAACACATGTCTGTCCAGTAAATTTATTAATATTATTGAATGCGGCCTATTAAATCAAATATTATTTAAAGATAACAAATTTTCACACATTTTATTCAAAAATTTTTTTGCCAACGAATATATTGAGAAAATTCGAATTTTGCAAATAAATTATAAATTAAGAGGAATATTTACATTACAAATTGAAAGACCTGCGGGGCAATGGTAGTTTAGTAGGTATAAAAATTACAACTTGAGGGTGGAGCCTAAATATTACAAACTTACTTCCGAGACTAAACAAAAACCGCATTCATTCATAATTTTAACAATGGCATGTAGATACGAGGGATACATATTCTAAACTCTAACGCGCGAAGTTGAGACAAAGGAACCGAAAATCCTACCACGGCTGCCCACGTTCATCAGTTATTGAGTGAGTCAGAGTTACCTAAATTGGGGAAACCAGAATCGTATTTGTTTTTCTTGCTGCATTGTGATATATTGTTATAACGCAGTTCGATTTATTAGACGGTTTTACATTATTTTTATATTTTAATTTAGTGAATAGCTTTAGTTAGATTAAATTACATTTAAAAGCATAGAGTTGTGAAAGATGGGCAAAATAAAACCAATATACAAATAACGAAAAAATAGACGATGGTTTCGAATAAGGTAATATCAATTAATACAGGGTATTTATTAATTGAGTGCCGATACTCAAAGGTGTGAATGTTTGGGTGATTCCAAGAAGAAAAGTTAATATCAACTTATGTCGTAAACCTCTTAATTTTTGAGTTACAGGGTGTTATAGTATTAACAAAAAAATAACTATTTTATCATAAGTTTCTTATCAGTCTAGATATTTTTATGAAATTTTGACCAAGAAAAAGTGTTTCCACTCATGGTGGGTTCCTACCAAATTTCAACAAAATATCAAAAGCAGTTTCAATAAACTTAAAAAAACTTTTTTTTGGTTTTTATTTTCTTACGCGAAAAGGTTGCGTCGTACGAAAGTATATCTATGAACCAAATTTGCTCCAAAATAAATAAGGATTTTAATGATAATTTTGGTTTTTAGAAAAAGCATATCCACAGAATATCTTTTGTGGATATCCAATATATCCACAGGATATCAGAAATATTCCGTGGATCTAATATGGATATCCAAATGTCCGTCTATATCCAGAATATAGAAGATATCCTAATGGATATTCAGCAAAATACCTAATGGGTATCTTCCAGGAAATACAAGAAATCACAGAGATATCCACAGAATATATTTTGTGGATATTCAATATATCCAATATGGATATCTAACCAAATGTCCGTCTATATCCCAGGACACAGGATAAAGAACAACACAGAAAAGAAACATAGGGCTAAAACAGGAACCTAGCAACCGAAGCCACACCGTATTAAACCACGAGCCGCCACTGGGTCCGCGGCGAGGAGACGAAAGGTGAAAAGAAAGGGAGGGGATAAAGAGAAGGATTTTACGCAGATACAACTTTATTTTATCAATGAATAAATGTGTAAGCTAGGGTGTAAGCGATGTGCGCTTATAATAAACAATGTAGATATCCATGCCGGTGTAAGACCTGTTGCCACTTCCAACTTAACATTACTAGGTTTTAGAATTTATTGAAAATTAATACATTTAATTTAGTGAAATTACATCTAATTTAGTGAAATTACATCTAATTTAGTGAAATTACATCTAATTTAGTGAAATTACATCTAATTTAGTTAAATTTGATATAACTAATGATTTAAAATTTTTTTGGGTTCAGTTGCAATAAAATAGAATTAATTATTTTAGCTTTTTTAATGTATGTAAATAATTTTGTAAACAAAACGAGAATAATTAAATGGGCATATGATAACAGCGGATATTATACCCTCCTGTGTCCCTTAGAATATGTCTTATTCAGGACTGCACGATATTTGTTAGTAGTTACATCTCCTCGTTATCTCTGCCCCTTGCAATTGAGAAAAGTGAAAAACGTGCTGTAACTGTTTTTGACATGAAGAAAAGGAAACTCAAGATTGAAATGGTTTTAAACATTACAATTAGGAGGACAATGAACTAAAGTAAAATATTTAAAATATATTTACCTTTCACAGGTGTAACTGCACCATAAATTCTCCAATCCCACTGGTCTGCTAAAGTTTCCTTATTAATATTTTTGTAAGGGAACGGTTGGCCTCCATTATAAACGCCAGAATATTTTTTTCCGCGAAGGGCTTTGAGTTCTTGTACAGATTTATCAGCCAGGTGATTAACTGTCAAAGTAAAACCTAAAAAGGACATCAGATATTAAAATGGCCCACACACGCAACCATTAGTTGTACAGGGTGTGTCAAATATTTTAGGGTGCAAATTTATATGAAAAATTCTAAACTTTGGTTAAAAAATGTTTCGTTATGAAAATATAAGGGTGTTAAAGTTTTAAGAAATTAATTAATGCAGACGGTGAATTCTAAGTTGATACTTGTTTTAACTGTATATAGAAGTCATTAAAATAAACCACTTTGTTAAAAAAAAAAAATCAAAAATAAGAAATTTACAATTATTTGTTCCAAAACGTATCCCATATATTTCTGTCTAATTAATATAATGTGTAGAATTTTCGTTGATAAAATTAAATGTTGTCCATATTCAGATAAACAAACTATTCAAATCAGATGACACACGACTGAGTTACAATATTCAGTACATGGTAAATCATGATTTATACATTGAAAATCCGAAAAGAAGGAAAAAAATATGATCTTATAATTTTACGATCGGATTTAGTTCAGGCTCGGATTTAGATTTTTATTTTGTTTTTGAAAAGTTATTTATTTTAATGATTTCTGTACATTGTCAAAAAACTTGAATTCAGCCTGCATTTTCGAAACCGCTTGTGATAGATTAGTGATATTTACTACGCAAAGACAGTTAATTAAGGCCAACTAGGTTTATTACAAAATGGTATTCTTTAATAATTATTTCATTAATTTTCTTGGACGGTTTTTATTTTTTTACTCAAAAACGGAGCATCGCAGGAAAACAACTCAAGAGAGCTCTTATGTTTTAAATTAAACGAGGAATTTAAAAATAATATTCAACAGTCAAAAAAACATTGGCGTAGCATTTTTTTGTTCAAAAATATTAGTCTGTGTCTCTCACGTTACTGTTAAAGCTGAAAATTATTTTTGTATTGAAAAATATGTACATTTATTAACTGACACTGTGTACTTAAATATCTCAAGCAGTGTCGAAAATATGAATTAATTTCCTTAAAAAAAACTTTGCCCCTCGTATTTTTACACTCTTAAATATTCTCTTATCATTAAGAAACACCCTGTATACGTACGCGATAGCATTATTTACCTTTATTTTGTCTATTAACTGAATGGACGAATCTGATATTCTGTCTGAACAATTCTTTACGTAATTGATGCTCTTTTTCGTCTTCATATTGTTTTCTGTGTTTATGAATGTACTTGTTGAATTCGAAATCGAGATGACCGGTATATTCTGGTCTGATAAATTCGGCTATGGGGTTGAAAGTGTAAATATGCTTATCTCCAGGTCCTGGGAACGAACTGCAAGTCATATCTAAAAAAAAAAGATAAAAAAATGTAATGACTTTCCCATCTAGTTATTACAGGCTTTTTCCGGTTATTTCGTACAACCTATTGCATCACTCCTGTAAATGAGAATTAACTAAATACATATATTTTAAATTCTAAATCAAAAAGGAAAAATGATATAATTTGAAATTTTTAACAAAAATCCAGCTCTATAAGAGGATGAAGCTTATTAATTTTGAGTTCGGGTTCATTAATAATAAAGTGTCGAAACAAGCAAGATGTAGAAGTACTAAAATAAGATATAGATTCCAAGATGAAAAACAACTACATCGTTGAATTGAGTAAAATGAGACATCCTAGGATTAAGACAATAAATTTTAAACAAGATATGAATAAAGAAGAAATTGAAAGGTGTATAATAGAACAGAACAATTTAAAACACAGAATTAAAGTGGTATTCATAAAAAATTCGAGGTTTGGTGCCAAAACTATATTTCTTAAATGCGATCCGGTATCTTTTAATAAAATAATGTCGGAAGGAAAAATTTGCATCGGGTAGGAACGCTAGTGTGTACGAAGATCTAGATATACCTAGGTGCTACAAATGTCAGGGTTATTACCACTCACAAAAAAATTGTCCAAATGCCATTATTTGCTGTGTGTAAAGGAGACCATACAAGGGATGAATGTGATAGACATAAAATTAGTTGTATAAATTGTAATATTTCCAATACTAAGTACAAAACTAAATATCATATTGATCATGAGGTTACTGAGGTACTCAAGAATAAAACAATTTACTATTAGTTACTTAACATAATCTTCAATAACTAATAGAAGAAACAATAATATATTATTAAGAGTTGCAAATTTGAATATAAGATCATTACTCCCAAGTTTTACTGATTTTTCTTATTTTATATGATATTATATGTATTACTGAAACATGGTTTCTGGTATGGCAGGCCTGCACAACTGAAGGGGCCACTTCAAAAACAGTAAGTGTACGAGGACCAAGAGAGTCCTGAGCTTATAAATTTATAAGGCAGGTCGAAGTGGTCTGTTTGACGTAGGCGGCCCAAACTGGTCAACAAAGGACCAAGAAAACGACAATGGCAGGCCGCATGCGGACCGCGGGCTGTATGTTGTGCAGGCCTGTGGTATGGTATCCCTGACAAGATACAATTTTTACAGAAAAGATAGGCCAAACAGAATAGGTGGAGGTGTAAGGTGCTATGTAAAATCACATATCAATTGCGAGGTTATTGATCTTGACTTAAATAATATTAATTATAATTATATTTCACCATTATTTCTGAAACTGAAAATCAATATGCATAAACTTTTTCTGGCAGTCATATATCGCCGTCCGACTCGGGCCTCACTGAACTCTCTAATCTTTTTAATTTTTCAATTCCTTTTTTGCTTTCTGAATCAGATTACTCTATTATCAATGATGATTTGAACATAGATATGTTAGTACCTAATTCTACCATAAATCTACTTGACGCTTATGGTTATGTTAATGTTATTACTGTGCCAACTCGTATTTCTGAAAGTTGTGCCACATTACTAGATCCCATCATTATTAATTGCAAAGACAGCGCCACCATCCCCTTTCACTTGTGTGATCATAATATGATGCCTCATTACACACTAAATATATCTATTAATAAATCGAGACAGAAATTCATTACTAAAAGGAAATTTAAGAACCTAAATATTGGAAAATTTAAAAGTAATTTACAAGCAATTTACCGGGATGGTATATTCTTTATTGATAATATTAATGACAAGGTCAGCTTCTTAACTGAGAATATAATTCGACTTTTCAATGAACATGTACCCTTGGTAAAAATCAGAGTCGTAAACCACCAGCTCCTTGGCTTACTGATAGTTTAAAGTTAATTCTCAAGGAACGGGATAAGGCATTATCTAGATTTAAATGTAACAGAATACCTAAAAACTGGAGGCATTATAAGGAATATTGAAATTATGCTCTGGTCACAATTAGCAGGAACAAGGCAGCATTTCTATCCAGTTTGCAGAATGAAAAAAATGACAATGTTCATTTTCTTTTAAAAAATGATTTACCTGTGAACCTACAGAAATAAGTGATTATTTTACTAGCATTTTAAAAAAATCTGACAATTGTCTTAACAAGATTCATTTTTATGCTAATAATAAATACCTGAACAATACTTTTAATGTTATCCTAGTTAATTAAAATAATGTCAGAGACGCAATAAATTCAATCAACTCTAATGCTTTCGGAAGTGATGGTATAATCTTTGTACATGCTTAAACTGTGCCTACCTACTATCTTAGATTATATAACACATATAATTGATTGTTGCCTTCCGTGTGGCTATTTTTCAAGGGCTTGGAGAGTCTGTCATTTATCCCATTCCTAAAATATCTAATCCTAGTTCAGTACAAGACTTACGTCCTATAAGCTTATTGCCTGTTATTTCCAAGATTTTTGAACGAGCTGTGTATAACCAGTTATTTGAATATTTAACTACTCATAAAATCCTACCTATACAATAATCTGACTTTCGCAAACAGCATAGTACCACTACTTTGTTACTAAACCTCTGTGACAATGTTATTCGTGCAATTGATCACGAACTTTTGTGGGCAGAACTTCAATACTATGGACGTAGTGATATTGTTTTATCTTTTTTAAACTCCTATTAGTGGAATTTTACTCAGAAGGTAGTAACTGATAACTTCTCGAATTAAAAAATCATTATTTCAGGCGACCCCCAGGGATCCATAATGGGTCCTTTATTATTCTTAGTATACACCTCTGATTTACCAAAAGTACTTAAGGAGAGTCAAGTTCAACTTTACGCTGATGATACCCAGTTATTAAATTATTTCGAACCTCAAGATATTCACAATGCTGACAATCTGATTAATAGAGATTTGCAGTTTCTATTACAATATTAATCCTTCAAAAACTACTGCTGTTCTGTTTTGCAGTGAAGCCAGACGTGTAGTTACTGAGAGATCAATGAGACTCGAGTTGGATTATGTTTAAATAACGAATCAAAAATATTAAGTCATATTAAGACCTTGATCAAGAGATGCTACTCAAGATTGCGGTTGCTTTACATTAATAAGCATATATTGAACTTTAAAATGAGAAAAAAACTTTGTGAATAGTTAGTTTTAACAATATTAAGTTATTGCAATATTGTTTACTATCCTTGTTGGCACAAATTGTTACATAAACTATTACAGCTTATACAAAATGCTTGTTGTAGATACATTTTTGGTTTGAGAAAATACGATCATATCTCAATTTATTTTGCTCAGCTGAAATGGCTCAAAGTTATATCAACTAAATCTTTTAATATTTTTGCATAGACTATTAAAGACAAGGAACCCTGCTTATTTGCTTGAGAAATTAATTTTTAGAACATCTGTTCATAATGTTAATATTAGACAAAATATGCTTACAATGCATCATCATTCCAATGCAAAGTTTGAAAGAGGTTTCCCTTATAATATTGTTAAAATGTATAATCACTTTTATTTTATAAATTGGAACGCATCATTGCATATCTTTAGACATGAGATTAAAAAGTATTTTTTGGCTAAGCAATAACCTGTTTTGTTTGAATTTCTCATTATATTTTTTTTTCTATATTTCAGTTCTTGTTCTTTGTACTTACATATTTATATTATTTATATACTATTCTGTTTTTTATTTTTTTTTCTTGTCTATTTTTTATTAATACTATAAGACTACAGATCATTATGTTATTACTATGTAAATATAATGTAAATAATATGCTATTATATCAATTACTATTATGTCAAAAAAATTTCCAGTGTAATTGCATGTTTTTAATAACAAATTTCCTGGAAATTTTTCTGGTTGTCAAAGAAACGTTTAAAAATGGCTTGATCATAAAATAGATGTGTTACTTTTACTTTCCTATCTGTATACAGATATAAGGAAAGTATAGGAATCATGATTTTTTTCGACCTCGAGTTTTCGACGGATTTTTACGTTTTGAGGTCCCCTGAATCCGTTTTGACTATTTTCGCGATGATGTCTGTCTGTGTGTGTGTGTGTGTGTGTGTGTGTGTGTGTGTGTGTGTGTGTGTGTGTGTGTGTGTGTGTGTGTGTGTGTGTGTGTGTGTGTGTGTGTGTGTGTGTGTGTGTGTGTGTGTGTGTGTGTGTGTGTGTGTGTGTGTGTGTGTGTGTGTGTGTGTGTGTGTGTGTGTGTGTGTGTGTGTGTGTGTGTGTGTGTGTGTGTGTGTGTGTGTGTGTGTGTGTGTGTGTGTGTGTGTGTGTGTGTGTGTGTGTGTGTGTGTGTGTGTGTGTGTGTGTGTGTGTGTGTGTGTGTGTGTGTGTGTGTGTGTGTGTGTGTGTGTGTGTGTGTGTGTGTGTGTGTGTGTGTGTGTGTGTGTGTGTGTGTGTGTGTGTGTGTGTGTGTGTGTGTGTGTGTGTGTGTGTGTGTGTGTGTGTGTGTGTGTGTGTGTGTGTGTGTGTGTGTGTGTGTGTGTGTGTGTGTGTGTGTGTGTGTGTGTGTGTGTGTGTGTGTGTGTGTGTGTGTGTGTGTGTGTGTGTGTGTGTGTGTGTGTGTGTGTGTGTGTGTGTGTGTGTGTGTGTGTGTGTGTGTGTGTGTGTGTGTGTGTGTGTGTGTGTGTGTGTGTGTGTGTGTGTGTGTGTGTGTGTGTGTGTGTGTGTGTGTGTGTGTGTGTGTGTGTGTGTGTGTGTGTGTGTGTGTGTGTGTGTGTGTGTGTGTGTGTGTGTGTGTGTGTGTGTGTGTGTGTGTGTGTGTGTGTGTGTGTGTGTGTGTGTGTGTGTGTGTGTGTGTGTGTGTGTGTGTGTGTGTGTGTGTGTGTGTGTGTGTGTGTGTGTGTGTGTGTGTGTGTGTGTGTGTGTGTGTGTGTGTGTGTGTGTGTGTGTGTGTGTGTGTGTGTGTGTGTGTGTGTGTGTGTGTGTGTGTGTGTGTGTGTGTGTGTGTGTGTGTGTGTGTGTGTGTGTGTGTGTGTGTGTGTGTGTGTGTGTGTGTGTGTGTGTGTGTGTGTGTGTGTGTGTGTGTGTGTGTGTGTGTGTGTGTGTGTGTGTGTGTGTGTGTGTGTGTGTGTGTGTGTGTGTGTGTGTGTGTGTGTGTGTGTGTGTGTGTGTGTGTGTGTGTGTGTGTGTGTGTGTGTGTGTGTGTGTGTGTGTGTGTGTGTGTGTGTGTGTGTGTGTGTGTGTGTGTGTGTGTGTGTGTGTGTGTGTGTGTGTGTGTGTGTGTGTGTTGTGCGCGCGCCTGTGTGTGTCTGTATGTCGCATAACTCATGAACCGATACACAGAAAAACACCAAATTTTAAACATAAGCTTTATTCCAGCGTCTAATGAACTGATTAGATTTTGGGCAGAGTCGGAACATCTGGGGGGGGGGGTACTTTATAGGTGGTCATTTTTATATTTTATGAAATGTATCTGTTATTTACGTTTGGAGAAGAAAATTCTTCAAATAAAAGTTACTTTTAATATAATTATCTATAATTTTTGTTCTTAACAAAATTTTCCTAAAATGGTCCGTATTCGAGAAATTTGACAAAATGTAAAAAAAATCATTTTTTATAAAAATTATTCAAATAAAAGTTGTTTGTAATATAATTCCCTATAATTTTTATTCTATACATAATTTCTCTAAAATGGACCGTATTCGAGATATTTGAGAAAATGTGTAAATTTCGAATTTCGAAAGAAAATTCAAAAACGGATAAAGAAAAAACATTAAATTTTAAACTTAAGGTTTATTTCGGCCTGACGTGAAATTATTAGATTTTGGACAAAGTCGGAACATCTGGGGGGGGTACTTTATGGGAGGCCGTTCTTATATTTTATGGAATATATCTGTTATTTATGTTTGGAGAAGAAAATTGTTCAAATAAAAGTTACTTCTAATATTATTATCTATAATTTTTGTTTTATGTCAAAATTTCCTGAAATGGTCCGTATTCAAGAAATTTGACAAAATGTGCAAAATTCTGATTTTTATGAAAATTGTTGAACTAAAAGTTGTTTGCGATATCGATCTCTATAATGTTTGTTTATAAATGATTTTTCTAAAATGGACCGTAATGGAAAAATTGTAGGAAAAGTGCTAAATTTAAATTTTTCAGTATTTTCGTTTTCAATGAATATCTATAGAAAAATGTTTCGAGGTAGATGTATGTGGACAATGTATATATTTAGTTTATCCTCTAAACATTTATAGATATGCTGCAATAGGTTGTACAAAATAACCGGAAAAAGCCTATAACTAGATAGGAAAGTCATGTGTTGGGCACATCAGATTTTTTCTATATAAAATTTTAATTCATTTTTTATTACTTGTATTATAGAATTTGCGGAAATTTTTCTGGTTGTCATGGAAACGTTTAAAAATGACAGCATTTGATCGGCTATAAAATAGAGTTGTAATTTTTTTATATATATAAAATTTTAATTAATTTTTTATTACATCCCAGGCAGCACACATTAGTATAACTAACGTATTTTATACGTAATACTCGTTTAATTTTGGTATTGGTTGATTCCGTATACGTTTACAGTTTACGATTATTATACATGCCGTATTTTAAAAGATATATTATAAGTTTTTTGTATACATCCTATGGTATATAATTGTAAATTTTTCTACGTTTAAATGTAGTTAACAATATACGACTATTTTTAGTTTGCGATGAACTATTTATATACAGTGGGTCTAAATATACGTTTAGGTTTATTTAAATTAAATTCGTATAAATTTACATAATATTACAATATGTGTTCTTCGTTTATATCTCCCGTTTAAATTTCGTCTTGGTTGATTTTTTAAACGTTTACCATCTACCATTTTTATACTTTACGTTTTTTAACAGATAAATTAAACGCTTTTGTTTGTGGATACTAGTTAATATACCTATATTATTCTACGTTTAAATATAAGTCACCTTAAACGCATATTACCAGTTTACGATGAACTAGTAGACATAAGTAAATAATATGTATATATTTAGATTTATTTAAATTAAAAGCTTATAGATATATTTATTTACATTACACCATATTTTTTTAATTATATTACCTGTAATATTTATAACAAATTCCCCATTGTACCGATTTCAAACACCCAAACATTTAAATAACCCGCCAATAACAATGGTGGGGTGGACTAGTCCATGTCGTTTCAGTGAGTGAGATTCGGGGTGTGCTTTAAGATAAGTCGGGCTGGTCCAAAGTGCGCGTAGTGCATAGAATCGAGAGGGGAGTAAGCTACCGGCAGACGATCGGGAATCAGCTGGCTGATGGTGGCTGTGAAGGGATCGCTATCAATCAAACGATTCACGCTATTATAAGTTATATTTCTGTTAACTAGTTGCTAACCAAAATAATTGTTTTTTATGTAATAAAAAGTTCTTGTAAAATTGTTGGTGTTGTTGTGCCCATTTGCATTGCATGTTGCTTTGGCGTCCTGGCTTTTACGATATTGGTTACAAGCATAGGTAAGTTTCTATTAATGTTTTAATTTAGCTACTCGTTTAATAATTGTTGCATTTTACAACAACTACTGTTTTATTACAGTGTGTGCTTATAGAATCTCCAAAACATAACCTTACGTTTGTTTCTCGTATTTTTATACGTATTTCTATACGTATTTTTTAGGCTACCTAGTTATTCCAAGCATACTTATTTTCCTTTGTTTTGGTCAGTTGTTTTTTATTTAATAAAATGTCTAAAATAACCCTGTCTCGGCGTTATTTACTAAGAAAAATAGCACAAAATGTTCAAGATGCTTTAAAGTCAAATCAATCTTTTTTTATTCCCAGTGAAGATAACATTAATAAGGCTTTGGACATTAATATATCATCTGATTCTATTATTTATAATAATTTCCTAGAAAGTAATACAAATTTAACTTTGGAGCTTTTAGAAAATATTTCACCTGAAATGCAGTTAAATTTTGTTTATAGGAATGGAGGTGAACCAAGAGACTTAACCGACCAAACGATTAGAAGTGCTATGCAAGATTGGCTTAAGTTAGCTAAGGCCTGTCTAGGACACAACGCATCCAAAGTGTTAAGCTAAGATTTTAATTTTCATATATATTTTTTTGTTAGTTAAAGAAAAGTTTCGTTTAGTTTGTTATTCAGTATTTTAGTGTTTATTTTTTAGTATTTTATTGTTTTTTTTTTTTTTTTTTTTTTTTTTTTTTTTTTTTTTTTTTTTTTTTTTTTTTTTTTTTTTAATAAAATATTGTTCTGTACATATATCAAGAACAAGTGATCAAAAAAATTTCCTAAATATTTAGACCAATTACAACCAAAATAGAAACACGAGTAATACCTATTTCTAGTGTATACACAGCTGCTATGGATAAAATCCAAACTGTCATTTAAGAAATATTAACATTTTTCCATGGCCTCTTTTAGAAATTTTGTTTTGATCACTTTATTTAATTTGTATTTGAAATATATTTAAAATAATATCAGGTAGACGCATTTTACACATTAATAAAATAAGATACATCTAATATAGACGTATAGTAAAACAGGATAATAAAAGGTAGATAAAGTAGTAATGTTAGACGTATAAAAAATAAAAAAAAAATATACGTTTATAGGGCGGACATTTTCACGTACATATTAGGTAGCATATCAACGGTATCCATACGTACATTGTAGTACATAAAAAAACGTCTTTTATACCAAAGTGGATTCGTATAAATATACTACAAATATAAATCTAATATAGACGTATAGTAAAAACGTTTAATTATATGTGGATAAATTCTTAGTAATCGACGTTTATAAGGCGGACATTTTCACGAATATATTTGGTAGTACATCAACCGTATTCATACGTATGGTAGTACCTAAAAAAAAACGTAATTTATACCAAAGTGTGCTGCCTGGGATGTATTATGTATTAAATTTTTTTGTCATAAATTATTCTATAATTCAAGTGTTTTTTACGTTTGTATAAGTTAATATTTAGAAATATAATATTAACAAGGATATTTTGTATTTTACAGTTAAACAATTTTTTATCCTTAATCATAATTAAAAATACTGGCTATGCACTTGAACTTATTTATAAATAAGATATATATTTTATACTTACTTTCGTCAATTCTAAATGTGTCCTCTGAGATGGCATCTATGGCATACGTAATGTAATCTATATAGTAATGGTCATAATGACTACCAAGCAATGTATTCAAACCTCTCATTTCATATCTAAAAAAAAAACATGTCAATAAGTAAATATAATTTTTTTAGCCCCTATTGTGTTAGTATTTTTAAATTTACCCACATCTAAAAGCTTAAAGAAAGAAACGTCATTATAATTAATGTCTAATAGAGATGGGCGCTATTTCAAGAACCGTTATTTAATTATTTTATTTTTGGTAAATTGACGTTTCTTTTTATCGATTTCTTAAATGTTTTCCAGAAAAATATTAAGGAATATATTCAATTTTACTGATCAGGATAACAATTCAATCTTTACAAATAGAAAACTATTGAAAAATGCTATTTAAACAAACAAAAAAAACATTACTTAATAATTATCATTTGACTGACTTATTAAGTATCGATGTTTGTTTTTAAAATGAAAGTTGAAAATTAACGTATTATCTTTTAAAAGATTAGGATTTCTCACATGTTCAATAAATCCATAAAAATAAATGGTAAATACATATGTAAGTATATTTTTTGATTCAAAGGAAAAATATATAATTTGAATGTTTAGATTGTATGTATTTACCTCAATGGTACAGGTATTTGAGAAGAAACATCATTAGGATTTGGCTTGTAAATAATCCACATGCTGTATCTGTTTTCTTTGTTTCCAATAGTTTCGATTAAATGCCATTTTTCTGTCTCTTTGCCGTTAATTATTTCTTTTCCTAAAAAACAGGACTAATTTTTTCTCGTTTACCTAAGAAGAATTTCTCAAAAAAATCCTTATTTACATAAAAAAAAAAAAAACAAAATTGCGACATTGTAATATTAACATTTAGGTAATATATGATATCAATATCAATGGAGTTATCTATAGAATAAGATTTTGATAAAATTAATGCAATTATTAAAATTTAAAAGAATCTCTAATGTTTTAGATACATAATCTGAAATTTAAAAAGAATTTGATATTTTTGATACATAATTTGGAATCAATTTTATTATTTAGAAAGCACACTTTTAAAAGAGTTATATGTATAATCCAAGTTCTAAACCAATATAACATTTTGATATCATGAGAAATATTCTTCAATGTTTCAAAAATGAAATGTAAATTCATGTTCAATCACCATGTTTATAAGATATAAACTCGAATTTTTATAGAGCGGGATCATCTTTAGCGATTTTTACAAAAATTAGCTGTTCAATTATGTCCAGGAGTTTATAAAATGTAAAAATTACCACCAGTGTCACACAGTCACGAGTTCTACCAATGAGTTTGACGGCCAGCGGTAATCAACCCATCGCCGGGCTACAAATCCATGGCTAGGCCATGAACCCATGGCAGGCAAATGAATGAATTTATTTTACACAAACTGTAAGAAATCGTATGTATCTAAATTACCGGCTAATTTGAATCCTGTCAAGTCTGGTAACACCATTTGAGGATTGATTGTATTCTCTTTCGAACCATTGACCTGTAGACATGTCTTCACATTTTCTTCGGTTTCGGTCGTAACTGGTGCAATTTTTAGGCTAGTACCATAACCTGATCCACCCAGTTGACAAGTTTTGACCATGTCTCCATAATAATCAATGCGAGATTGTTTGGAAGGGCCATCGTACCTATTATGGAAAAATGTTTTATTGCAGCACTTACACACTTTCTAATAGATTCTGCATACAAGTTATTTAAAAATAATTCTATATATGTTAATTAGCAAAATATTATTTCATGCAGTTTTGATCAACAGTCTCGAATGCCCTTTGGAGATCTATGCAAACTACTGTTGATAGTTTTTATCAAATTTATATTTCCAATCATATAGAACACACTAAATAACTGATTAGCAGTTAAGCTCACCAGTAAAAAGTTCATTATGTTCTAAAAAAATTAAGAATTTGTTCAGAAATTACTTTTTCAAATATTTTGTCTGTACAACTTAATGTGCATTCAAAAGAAACACTAATAATGAAATTATTCAAACACTAAGAGAAAAAACATGAGATTTTATTGTTGATACCCTTGGAAAACATTTTTGATGGTCTTCTCATGGTTATAGCATAATTGACTTATTGAACAGAGCGCCCATAGGCAGGTAGCAGGTATTCAGTTACCTTACTCAGTAGCCATGGACGTCAGTAGTTCATACTCTACAGAAAAACATGACTTTTTTTAATTTTATTGACATACTAGCTGTTGCCCGCGGCTTTGCTCGCATGTAGTCGTGTTATTAATATAAAAAAATACATGACTTCCTTTTTTATTCATTTTTATTAGTTTTATTGATTTTCATTAATTTTTATTCATTTTTTTATATTTATTCATTTTTATTCATTTTTATTTATTTTTATTCATTTTTATTCAGTTTTATTTATTTTTATTCATTTTTATTCATTTTTATTCATTTTTATTCATTTTTATTCATTTTTATTCATTTTTATGCATTTTTATTAATTTTTAATAATTTTTATTAATTTTTAATTATTTTATTTTATTTTTATTAATTTTTATTAATTTTTATGAATTTTTAATATATTTTTTTAAATTTTAGTTTATTTTTATGATACTACCATACAAAAATCTAAAAACCACAGACCACGTCATTATTTATTTATGCTACAATTATAATTTTCAAGTTCCAAAGTTCACAAAATTTATACTTCTATACAAATTTTGACCCCCGTTTCCCCTCCTTAAAATGTGAAAATTCAAAAAACCATGACACACATCATTTTTGATTTTAACCAGTAGCTGTAATTCAAATTTTTATGTTACAAATTTTAAATAAAAAAATATATAAATACTATTAAACAAATTTTCACTCCCCATTTCCCCCCTTAAAATGTTAAAATGCAAAAACCCTGAAACACTTCATTATTTATTTATGATGAGAACCTACAATAATTCAAATTTTCAAGTTCCTACCTTTAAAAAAATCGATATTTCCAAATAAATTTTCAGAGGGGTTTTGAGAAATTTAAAAGGTGGCAACCCTAGGTACATACTTCTAAAATATGTAGTTAATTGTTTCTATATTTTTCCACCAATAGTAATATTTTTGTTAAAAATAATTAATTAGGTATGAATAAGTTAACAATTTACAAAAGTAAACTCAGTTTTTATTGATGGTTTATTATATTATAAATATATGGATATGTCACAAAACACTCTGTATCTTTGTTTTTTTTTGCATTGGTTACAAAAAAAAAAAGATATGAATACAAAATATTTAATAATCATTAAAGAACAAGGCGATGAACAATATTTTCAATGATAATGAGTGTAAAGATCAAAGTTCAATAATCTTTGATCTTCAAGTCACAACTATCTAGAATAATTTAGTTTAAAAAATCATACAAACATATTTTATTAAGTATATTTTGTTAATACTATACATATTTTATTTTGCAGTTACTGCAAGTTCAATTTATAATAATTTTAAGGGCAATGTACAAAAGAATATAAGTCAGCTAAAATTTGTTATGCGATCAAATAATGTTTGTCAAACATTTTTGCATAAGAAAAAAAACTAGTTGTTAGAAATCTAATATTTGCTTTAAGTTATAATAAATATATTTGCAATGTGAATTGGAGAAGATTTTAATTTGATATGCAGAAACAAGGTGCACAATAAATTCAATGATATACTGATTATTTTGGCTAAATAATCTTTGACAATAAATAGTAGTAATTATTTAAAAAAATTCAGGGTTTTTTATATTAATCATTAACTTAGACTAGACAATAAGGAATAATGGCTGATATTTAATAGTAACTAATAAAAATTAAATAATATAATCATAATCTTACCAGGCAGAAATAAGTTCCTCTATTTCAGCATAAGGGATGTTTAAAATTCCTTGAAGTGTATAAGTCGGACTCCAAACAGGAGGATTAACAGGCAAAGCAGTAGTAGTAAGAGGATCAGCAGTTACTCCTGTAAAATAAAGAAAATGAAAACATCATTTTCTGAACTTGGTACCATTACATTGTAAATAAAGCACTTATTAAAAAATGCAAATTACTTAATAATTAATAAACTTCAAACAAAATCCTCATTATTTTAAAATAAGTTAGTAGATATCAACCAAGAATTTAGTATTAAAATTTGGAAAATATATGTATACTTAGGTGTGTAGACATTATTACTTCTGCAATAATTATTAATAATTCAAAACTAATTTTAATTTGTAACTCAAAGAAGTATTTTTAAATATTTTTTTCAGTCAATTAGAAATATATCTGATAAAATTTTTATTGTGTTCTCATCTGTGATTCAGAATTAATTAATAGTTACCTTGATGGTAATTGTTTATAAAAATTAACAATAAAAAATACCTTTAGAAATAAGGGATATAATCAGCAGCACTATCAAATTTACAACACTCATCATGGCGAAGTTTATTATTATTACTTCATTGACGTTATTGAAACTAGAACTATTGTTAAAAATAATTTAATCAGCAACCGCTAAATGTTTTTTGCTGATTGAGTAATGTAATAAAATTATTTAAAATATAAAACATCCAGCAAGAAACTGACAATTCAACGTCAACATATTCAATAACAAAAACAATCCGAACTCGGAACCTACAGCGTATTGCTCATAAATGATCATAAGGGAAGAGTGGGGCTTTGTTTTATAAGGCGTGTTATTTTATTCAGCGCTGTATCCAGCGCTTGCAGCAAACCGTTCGTAAATTAAGCGATGGAAAGACGATTGTATGTGGCAATCGTTCTTTTTTCCAGCGGTGAGTTCATCAATGAGTAAACAGATCCATCGGCTTTAAAAGCCGATGGCTCTGCCGATGGATATGTGATGGATGATGGGAGGGGATGATTAATAAATTTGTTTGAACGTGTGAACACGATTATTTAGACAAAAGTTAATCTATAATACAAGAGTTTAAATATAAAACGACTACAGAAGAAATAAATTACTGTTAATTTAAATTAAAACGGGTTTAATTTTTAATGCTATGTCAAACGTCAAATTTTCATTGGAGAAATGTCGTTCGTTCTTATATTCAGCACAAATACCTTCCACCAGAACTTAATCAGTGACGTCATGACATCAATCACTGATGGAATAATTGTTGAATAAAAGAACACACCTATATTCTATCCATTCTGTAAATGCGTATATTCGAATGATCAATCCTTCAACCAACCGCTATACAGGGGGCCTTGTTTACTGAGTACTGAGCGTACGGGTACGGCAATCTGCACTGCAGTCTGGCAATAAATACCAAAAGTTGAACAGTTTACAAATCGAAAACAATAAAGTGGTTCGAAAATTGAAATGACTGAACGATTGATTCAAAAGATTCCATCATTTTAGAAATCAATCACTGATAAATTCGATAGCCTGGAAGTGATTGAATTACCCATCACTATCTTACTAGACTACTGACTAGACACAAGGCCGACGAGAGGGGGGTAGCCGGAACTAAACTAATTCAGGGCTCGGACAAAGTTGTCCCGGGGCTCGACCTGGAAAAGTGTCCCGGGGCCCGACCTGGCTCTCGGTGGCCCTGACTCAATAGACAAGAGAAGATTTGATGGCGAAACTTGGTAACCATAGAAACGCTTTCGTCAAACGCAACAATATTATAATAGCCCAAGAGCCCACGGAAAATCATCTGATAATGGTAGTGATAATGGTTCGTAAACACTACGGTGGCCTCATCCCCGTTGCTAAGAACGGAGTGACGTCAGTGAATGAAAAAAAAAACGGGTTGGCAGAAAATATTAGACTTAGATTCCGTACATTAGTTTTTTTAAAACTCTAATATTTTATTGATATTTAGTGATGTTTATATTTTTACTTTCCTATCTGTATACAGATAAGGAAAGTATAGGAATCATGATTTTTTCGACCTCCAGTTTTCGACGGATTTTTACGTTTTGGGGTCCCCTGAATCCGTTTTGACTATTTTCGGAATGATGTCTGTGTGTGTGTGTGTGTGTGTCTGTGTGTCAGTGTGTGTGTGTGTCTGTATCCACCATAACTCATGAACCGATACAAAAAAAACACCAAATTTTAAACTTAAGCTTTATTCCAGCCTGCGGTAAACTGATTAGATTTTGGGCAGAGTCGGAACATTTGGGGGGAGACTTTATTGGTGGTAATTTTTATATTTTATTAAATATATCCGTTATTTACGTTTGGAAAAAAAAATTCTTCAAATAAAAGTTACTTATAATATTATTATCTATAATTTTTATTCTATACAAAATTTTCCTAAAATGGTCCGTATTCGAGAAATTTGACAAAATGTAAAAAAAATATTTTTTTATAAAAATTGTTCAGATAAAAGTTGTTTGTAATATAATTCTCTATAATTTTTATACCATACATAATTTCTCTAAAATAGACCGTATTCGAGATATTTGAGAAAATGTGTAAATTTCGAATTTTGAAGAAAACTCAAAAACGGAAAAAGGAAAAAACATTAAATTTTAAACTTAAGTTTTATTTCAGCCTGAGGTGAAATTATTAGATTTTGGACAAAGGCGGAACATTTGGGGGGTACTTTATGGGAGTCCGTTTTTATATTTTATGGAATATATCTGGTATTTATGTTTGAAGAAAATTGTTTAGATAAAAATGACTTACAATAGTATTATCTATAATTTTGGTTCTATACATTTTTTTTTAAAATGGTCCGTATTCGAGAAATTTGACAAAATGTAATAAAATTCAAATTTTTAGGAAAATTGTTTAAATAAAAGTTATTTGTGATATCGATCTTTATAAATTTTGTTTTTTATACGATTTTTCTAAAAAAAGGCAATAGGTTGTACAAAATAATCGGAAAAAGCCTATAATAACTAGATAGGAAAGTCATGTGTTGGACACATCAGATTTTTATTTTTGGACTATTTTAAACATTTTGTGTTAGTGTATGGCCTTCGAGCCGAACTCGAACCTGAATTTGTTTATACCCTGAAATAATTCAAGAATTTAGCATATACCTGTAGCAAATCTGTAGAGTGTAGCAGTTTGCAAACACAAAGCAAAAGAAAAGGGACTGAACCTAAACTGAAATTATAGGCGAATGATAGCTTTGTGCACCCTACATTTAAAAGCAAATGAGATTATTTCTTGCAAGTATAAACACAACCAAAGAGCAAGAAAAGTCAAAGGGCTTTACTAAAAGAACATACAATATTGAAAAAAGGGGTTTGCTAGAGGAAGTTTTTAGTAAAATTGAGGTACACATAATTTTAATAAAGAAAACAAGGCCCAGTTGGACTTTAAAAAGAAACAAACAATGTATCGGAAATAAAAATATATTTTGCAGGGCTCAGGGCTTGGGTGCCTATACTCAAAGCATCAGCAGGTGGCGGTTAGCCTAACGGCCTGCAGCAATTTCCCATCCTGCAAATTTTCACCGAGTACCCGCAATAAGGACGCTGACCGTATACCCAGACAACACACCAAATCCCAGAGATATCCACAGAATATATTTTGTGGATATCCAATATATCCACAGGATATCAGAAATATTCCGTGGAACTAATATGGATATCCAAATGTCCGTCTATATCCAGAATATAGAAGATATCCTATGGATATTCAGCAAAATATCTAATGAGTATCTCCAGACAATACATGAAATCCCAGATATATCCATAGAATATATTTTGTGGATATCCAACCAAATGTCCGTCTATATCCCAGGATATAGAAATTCAGATAAATATTTTATAATTATTTTTAGTAGAGCTTCATAAGTAACCAAGGGTTATTGAATAACGTCGAAAGAAAATAGAGGTAAAAAATATTCCCAACAATCTGCCTTTGATTTTGCCTACTAAGGAGAAAATCATCATTAGGAATCTTCAGCAATAGATGGAACTTCTCGACTTCAGTCTCTAATGAAGTCTGTTTGTGAAACAATGTCGATCAAACTCAATTACGGCGGGTTAAGCATGAGTAGATACGAAAGTGGTATCGCCATCTATACTTAGGAAGCAAAATCAAAAATTACATCTAGTAGATATCCACGATGGTTTGCGTCCGCGCTTAGACGTTGATATATTTATATTTATAGTGGATGTCCATGGGATATTGAATACACCTTAAAAAAAATAATTTTAAATATCTCAACGGTACTATTAGCCACAATGGCGAGTACAATGGCGTAATTTTTTAATAATTTGCTATATAATTACAATTATTTATGGACATTTGCATGTCTATAAATTACATTTCATGGATATAAAATAGATATCCACCATGGACTGGACATTCAGTGGATATTGGGATGTTCAGTAGATATCCAAAGGATTTGGTGTGCTGTCTGGGTAACCTCCCAATCCAAAGGTCCGTGCCGAATGGATGCATAGTGGCGGGGGAGCAACACCGCGAATGGAGCTTCTGAGATACCTGCCGACCTCTCGGATTAATCAGCCTTACTTATTTTATCATATCCGTGTGGGGGTATACACAATTGATTTTAAAGGCTATATACTTCATAAAAACTCTTTGACAGACTTAAGTTAGGCTTTATTTAGACATTCTATAGAGGTGGTCATACCAATCAATGAACCGTAGTCTAAATGGGATTTCACCAGGGGCGCATATACGGGGGATGGGGTAATTACCCCCGCAAATAATTTTTAAACCTAACTTTTGTTGTTATTAATATTAAAAATAAACACTTATACCACTACCACCCAAACCTAATTACCACTACCCAGACTTAAACTCTTGATGCGCCACTGGATTTTACCAATGATTTGTGTAATGTTAGGCAGCAGATTTTGCATTATTATAAAGTCTTTATACGTTTAAAATAATAAACTAGTCATTCACTTCACTGCTGAAACTGTTTTGTTGCGACGGACTAAAGAGGAATTCTACATATTGATATTATTTGATTGGAGTACTATTTAAGAAAACATATTTTAAGCGCAGAAAGTTATAGTACGGTTCTGTTCTTTCTTCTTTTTATTTATTTTTACACTCTCGACGCCCTTAAACTTATATGTATAGGGTTAAATCTTTTTAGCTGCTTGTTTTACATAACAAGACAACTCAGGAAATTGACACATGACATACGTCATTTGTGTATGACATTTTTAATTTCTGTTTATCATCGCGTTGCGGTTCTTCAAAAAAGATTTCTTATTTTTGTGATTGAAATAATCAACCATGAGTTTGGAAGAAATTTGTGGAATTCCACAATATAACTCTCTAGATTATGAAAGATTAATGCACGATGATGGCTTGTCCAGATATTGCAGGAACTTTGATAATGGCATGGACTTAGCAGTGCCCCCTTTTCTAAATGTAAGAAAAATATATTTTAAATTTTCAGTTTGTAACGTTTATTTAAATTTCAGCAAAGCAATAATTTTGCCAAATTTACAAAGGACGACAGTGGACGTGAAATCAAAATTAATTTTGACCATGGTACAACTACTCTGGGGTTCATGTACAAAGGGGGTGTAGTACTCGCTGTAGACTCTAGGGCAACAGGAGGTCAATTCATTGGGTCGCAAACTATGAAGAAAATTGTAGAAATTAATGATTTTCTGTTGGGTTAGTTTAAGCATGATATTACAAAATTGATATCTAATATCATTAATATTATAAATAATTTTCAGTTGAATAATTATGATTTTAATTGTAGGTACTTTGGCTGGAGGAGCAGCAGATTGTGTATACTGGGATCGAGTTTTAGCTAAGCAATGTAGAATGTATGAACTCAGAAATAGGGAAAGAATTTCTGTTGCAGCTGCTTCTAAGTTGATGGCCAACATGGTTTACAATTACAAGGGAATGGGGTTATCTATGGGAATGATGTTGGCTGGTTGGGACAAGAGGGTAAGGTTAAAATATTGACTTTTATACCATTGTAAAAGACCTAGATAATGTACATCTTTTTGTTATATCCTGTATGTACCTGTCGGGCCTGTCTCCACTTTTCTGTTGTTTTTACAGTCTGTTTTAATTATCTGGTATTTGACTAAATAAATAAAACAGTACTATTAAAATAAACATTTATTTGAAATAAAAATAAAATTGGTACATAATTTAGGACTAAAATTAAATTCTTTAAAACAAAATTAAAATTTTGTAGAAGAATAATAAAATTTGTTAAAAAAAATGTAAAGTACTTAAGGAAACAAATATTTTAAGTTTTAGACCTCTTTATTTCTTTTGTCATAAATGTTACAAAAGTGATTAATAGCCATAGCACTTTTGTTTAGTGTCCCCTGCTATTTAATATAAATTATTTCTTTCCTCTTCTTTACCTTGCCTGAATGCCTCAAGTGGATGGTTTGCAGATCTCTTTTTAGTTCTCTCCCATATTCTGAAGCTTTTTATAACAAATGATTGCTTGTTTCTTCGCTAAAAGGGCTGTGTTAAACTGTGTTTTCTTGATCATATTCCTCCTCTACCTCTTGATAAATCCTTGTTTGTATTTCCTTTTTTTTTTCTCCAAACTGCTGTTTTCCATTCTGGAAAGAAATACAAAGTAAAAATTTGCAATATTTATGTGTATATCATGAAATAATTGTTTATCTTTTTTATTCAGTAACATATTTCCTATAGAATTTTCGGTTAGCAAACATTTGATCCTAAATATTTGAGTATTTGTGCCACTTTTTAGTACAATTTTCTTAATATATTGAACAAATTTGAAGTTCTTCTTTTTCCATATCCACAAATAACAGAACCTGAATCCAAAAATTATAACTGAGTATGTCTACTTTTGGAGGAAGAATAATTATGTCCTGTTGCCAGTTTTCTTGAAGTTTGGTTCTGGTTGTGCAGTCGCAATGTCTTGTGAAAGTTTCCAGCATTGACTTATTTTCAATGGTCACAAGAATAAACCTGTTTATCCACATTAAATATAAAACCTAAATACCCATTACACTGTTTATTAAAATAATAACACAGGCCCATAAGAAAAGATGTTTCAGCTGCATGGTATATTTTTAGTATATTTTATAGGGTACCGAATCCAAAAATCACCTCCATTTCCTTCAATCATGTACAGTTTTTTTTTTTGCAAAATATGGAGACTTAAAAGTTTTTCTAATAATTCAAAAAATAAAAAAAAAACTATTTCTTTATGCCATATTTAACACTACATGTTTGCTTTTTCTGTCTGAGAAACCTGTTCTTCTTCTCCTCTTTTCTGACACCTTCACTTTCCATCTTTTGTTTCTCTCCTGAGCATCCAGTAATCCACTAACATATTGATGTCCCTTGTTCCTTGGTTTCGTCTCTTGAAATCAAGAACATCCAGGTGAAATCTTTCACTCTGCTCTTCACTATAGGCTTCTAAGTAGTTTTCAGAATAAATGAGTTCTGCAAGGAAGCCTGATGTTAAATATTTTTCCTAGTTTTGGTAAGAAAAATCTATAGGAAACAGTCAAAAAATTCCATGCACTTTTTTTAGTGAAGATCTGTAATTTCCATGTTGTTTTTGTTACCGAAGTATTTTTTAAATTATTTTAGGGTCCTCAACTTTACTATGTCGATTCTGAAGGGCTTAGAACACCTGGAAAAGTGTTCAGTGTAGGTTCAGGTTCCATCTATGCTTTTGGTGTGCTCGATTCAGGTTACAAATGGGATTTGACAGACGAAGAAGCATATGATTTAGGTCGCAGGTCTATCTATCATGCTACCCATAGAGATGCTTATTCAGGAGGTATTGTAAGAGTATACCACATGAAGGAGACTGGCTGGGAACTTATTGATAATAATGATTGTAACGATTTGCACTATAAGTACCAAGAGGAGAAGTCTAAAGAGGGTGGTGCTTAATTTTATTTCTTAGGTTAAGGTTTTTGAATAAATGTATTTCTATTAATTCATAATAAATAATTTCTCAATTGGATAATGACTTTTTATAATTATATTTCAAAATCTCAGATCATGAGATTTTTTCATTTGCATGATTCGTTGATGAGTTGGGTATTAGCAATAAATTAGTTTTTGATATGACATTTCAGTCTTAGTGGGCTATCGGGTTATGTAGTATTTATGACATAATTAGAACTAATTGATACCTATATTTAGCAATTTATATAAAATCAAAATTAGGAAGAAGTTATTATGACCAAGGATGTTCAAATTTAATATTACAGATTATCAAGAAATTAAATCTTTATGGAGAATGTTCAGTAAACAATGGGCAAAACTTAAGATGTAGTTAGTTTGGACAAAAATAAGTTCATTAGTACTTTAGTACAATTTTGCTTGCTTAAAAAGTTACAGGGCGGAGATTTTTTTTCAATATTTTTACTGTAATTCAATTATTTTCTGAGTAAATATACCCAAATTTGGTAAAAGTAAGTTATTTTGGTGATACAAAAGAATACCAGCTTGTTTGTTACATTACATGTACAGAGCGTTCTAAACTGGACAAAATAATATTTACTTCAATGTTTTTTAAGATCAATATGTTCATGTAGTGGTTATGTCAGATTCCTACCATTATCGGGACTTCTGAAGAGATCATTTTTGGGGCTTTTTCTATTTACTATATTCTTGATTGATATCGTAAACATCAGTGATATAGAATGAAGATATATAATGTTTGGTATTCTATATTGCTCTTCACTGTTTAACTGAACCCCCCTAAACCCCATTTTCAATCAGATTTTTTCGAATCAATAGGCTTCATCCCCATACAAAGCTTGTTTTTCTGAAGATTTCAATTTGATATCTTTTTTTGTTTCTGAGTTAGGAGTTTTTTCAATATTTTAAACCCCTTTAACTCTTCCCATTATAGAGCTTGAATTTTACATAATTTTGGTGGTTTTTTGCTAAAAATTTCAAGCTTTTTGGAATTAGGATTTTTTTAAATATTCAACCCCCATTTTAATTCAGATGTTTTCAAAATCAGTAGGCTTTGTCCCCTTAGAGAGCTTGATTTTTCCTAAAAATTTCAAATTTATATCGTTTTTTACTCATCGTACGGACAAAAAATGTGACTTCGAACGGAACCAAACTCATAATACTCTTCACAGACTACTGTATAAAGTCCCTAGAGGAAAAAAGTTTGTTTCACCGTCTTTTTGGAAGTGGCTAATTTCGAAAAAATATGGAATAAACGCCCTATACTAAAAATGAACATGTTCTTGCCACGTCAATACAGAACTATTATCCTATAAAAACCCCTTTTATTACTATATATGTTCTTTGTACGAATGCTTTTTGAGAGATGTTCAGTTTTGGCCTGCCAATAAAATTGCACCAATTATGGAAGCGTTCCATACTATTAGGCAATTTCTTCAAGAAATTCATTTTTCAGATATCTTTCTATTCTTTCAATTTCCCATAGAAATACAAGTTGCGACTATTCCTTTTTTGGAATTTAGACAAATATACATTCAGTAAACAAAATTTTATAATAGAAGCCAAGTCAAGTTTTCCCAACTATAAATTTTTATTTACTGATGGATCTAAAGATCGGCAGGGCAAAACTGGCGCTGGTATCTTTTCTATAAATTTAATTGCCAAATCGTTTCGACTTCCAAATTTTTTTCTCAATCTGTTCGGCCGAAATATATGCAATTAAAGAAGCGGGGTTATATGTATTATAACTGAAAATATTAGCAAGGCAGTTATTTTCAGCGACTCTAAAAGTGCTCTCTAAAAATATCCAGTAATTGCATATGGACTAAAATGGATTATTAGAAACAAGACATAGTTTATTTAATGCAAAGAGTTTGGGGATAGATATTTGTCTAGCAGGAATTCCTAGTCACTGCGGAATAAGTGGAAATGAGGAAGTAGATGAACTGGCCAAAGAAGGCTGACTACAAATATTGAGTAGTAACTTCAGGGTGCATCATGGTGACCTTTTTTTTAAATCCACTATATGGAAAAAATGGAAGGAGGAATATATACCAATTTAAAGGGAGACTATATGGGGATGTGACTCAACTTCCATTAAAGAGACCGTGGTTTGGAAAATAAAAAAATTAAATAGAAGGGATATTAGTACCATTTGCAGATTACGAAGCGGTCATTGTTTGAGTATGGTACATCTCAAGAAAATAGGAATAATGGACAATTATAGGTGTATGTGTGGAGAAAGGGGGACTTACAACATATTTTTTTTAATTGTCAAAATAATTTTTATAATATTTATACATTTTTAGAGAGTTTAGATATCCCAAAAAAATGTATAGTTCCTGTTACACTTTTTGATATATTTGTTAAGCTTCTGTCTTTCGGTAATGTTAAAAAAAAAATAGCATAATTTATGCAAATATCTAAAATTAAGGTGTAAAATATTGTAATTCTTTACCTGTTGTTACCAAATGGCTGCATCATCCTAGCTATGTAGGCCAATAAATTAATAAAAAATCCCATTTATCTGAAAGGTATTTCAGAATAAAATGAATCCTTTTCCGACCGAAGATATATCAAGACAGAATTTTACTTGCTATATACCAGAAATATTGCTAATCTTTAGTACAATATCGCAACATAATATGCTGATGATACTGCATTCCTGGCTAATAAAAATCTGCAAAAATCCATGGCCAGATATTAATATCTGCATAAAAAGATGGCGAATTAACTTAAATGAAGGCAAATATGTACATATCAATATCAGCAATAAACAATATCAATATATTCCCATTAGAATAAATTACTTTCAGATTTCTTACACCAGTACAGCAAAATATATCTGGTCATGACACTATAGATAGAAGACTTCGCTGGAAAATCCACATTAAAAAGAAATGTGAAGAGTTTAGTATAAAATACAAAAGAATGTATTGATTACTAAGAAAAAAACTCCAAATTATCCACATACAACAAACTGCACCTTGTGGGTAAAAAAAATTGATTCTTTCTTCGTCTTGTTTAAAAAAAGTTGTAGCATTGCTTAAAAAGAAAGTTGATTTTTTTATACCTCATTTCTTGCATGACTCGTTATTAAACCTAGCCATAGTCTTCCTTTTTGTGTATTGTTTTATATCAATCAATCAATATATGTTTATTGTCAAAGCTACAAGAACTTATAGACAAACACTTATAAATATAATTATTATGTAGTACTAACAATTACATGCATAAAAATTGTATAAAAACGTTAAATATAAAATTAGAGGTTAATTACAAATACAAATACGTAACACAACATCGATAAAATTATATAAATACAAAAACATGTACGTTCAAACAGTCACAACGATTTAAGAGTCATTGTAAAATTCCGTCAAAGCATAATATGCTTTTGTCATCAACATATCTCTAAGCAGTATTTTAAATGTTGTGACCGTTTCCGTCGATTTAATAGCATTTGGCAACTTATTGTACATTTTAATCCCATTATAAATGAAAGAGCCCCTTACCAGTTCAGATTTGGGTATGGGCAACCGCAGGTTGTCAACTTGTCGCGTTAGCCGAGCGTTAGTATTGACATAGTTCGATTTATTTTTATGTATAATACAAGTGGTTTCAAGAATGAACAACGATGTTAATGTTAAAATTTCATGTCTAATAAAATGTGGCTGACATGACTCAAGCTTGTTCATTCCACATAAAAATCGTATTGCTCTCTTTTGCAGACAAAAACAGTATTGAATAATTCGCGGCTGCAACCTCCCCAAAATGCAATTCCATATCTCAAATGGGACTCAACTAGGGCATAATACACACTTTTTGCTGCCTTAAAACCTAGTTCTTTTGCCACAGTTCTGACTGCAAAACATCCAGAAGAAAGTTTTCTGTTTAGCAATTCTATATGGTTTCTAAATTTCAAATTATTATCTAAATGAATTCCCAGAATCCAGCGGCTTTCTAATACTCACTGGAATGGTAAAAGGACCCCGCTCAAACCTTATGGAAAAGTGATCTATGTGGGAATTGCCTGAATTTTTAATATTGTACTGATTAAAAGTTACCGTTGCGCCAAAGTCCAATAACCAATAGTTTCGGAGAGACCGACCAATGAATGTCTCATTCGCTAAACGATCGTTTTCGTATTTTACTCATTGAATGTTTGTTTCTGTTTTCTATCTTATTTTGAATTATTTTAAAGGTCTTTTTTAAGACCGTTATGAAAAATAAATAGTTGTCAATAGTGATGTTAAAAAAGTAATTCGGCACTCGTGTATCGTTACTTGAAGATACCCGAAGTAACGATCAAAAAACCAAATTATTACATTGATTACTCGTATACTACGGTTCGCAGTGGAGATAAACATAAACAACAATTAAATCAAACAATTAATAAAATAATTTAATAAGGAAAGCCTTGTAACAACCCATTGGATACCTGTACGGGGCCGCTATTGCGCTAGCCGGTTGGCAGCGTCAGAAACGCTATGAAGAAGGTTAGACGGAGGGTACCGAATTTCAGGTCCATGTCTTGCATATCCCAAGTACCATAATATGAATGCAATATGACTGCAACAGCCCAGCGTTCTAGCACCCGATTTGCAAGTGCAATAATGTCCAATAATGACATCTTCCTGATCGTTTTCTTCGAGTTCGTTAATAGTCGTATAAGCAATCCATATCTGGTACGTGGTGGCGTTTCGGAATCGTGAGTACACTCTTGCTCGGAGAAATCCTGGTTCTGCATTTAACTGATCTATGTGGAGCTCTTCTATGGCATCCCGCCTCAACTTGTCCTGTATATATGAAGGTGCAAGATTGATTTGATATATTCCAACCGTAATATCTCGCAGATAGTTTAAATCCAAACGAGGAAAGTCATCCAGGTTAGCCACATCAATATGTATCCACATCGCATTTAGGTTTCTCAATCTGAATTCATCCACACGAGCCATTACAACATTGACTTCATTCGCCTTGGCCAGCATTTCACGAGCCATGTCTGCATTGTAGAAGGCTACAACGCAATTATATAGCAATTAATGGGTGGTATTTGTTGATAATAGCTCCCGCTATTCGATAGAATTTCCCCAGGTATTCAATATGAGAAGTATGAATAACTTGTCTTTGTAAAAAATAATGAACTCTTATTAGTAGGTTTAATTGACACTCTTTTACAGAACAAGGAAATTATATATCCTAACTTGACAGAATGACAATAACAAATACTAAAAAATATACAAAAACAAAAGATGAGTTGAGAACTAGAAATGGAGTTACTTTCGAGTAGGTATTTGTTACTTTCGTATCAAGTAATCGTTCCAAATATTCGTTAATTTGATTACTTTGACTATTATGGTATTGCTATGAGTAAAGACGTAGAATATTGTTATTTCCAGTATTCGTTGTTTAAAAATTTTTATTATATTCCGAAACCCTGTGAGGCAAAAACCCGTTTTAAAAATGTTTACTTTATAATTGTATGTGTAAATAGTAAATATACTTCGATCACGATGTAACGAAAATATCCGTGTTCGTAAGTATTCGTATTCACTTTCACTTCATCATCCTCCAGGCATTCCCTATCATAGCCAATGCGAATATTGTACACCGCGAACCGTAGTATACGAGTAATAATGTAATCATTTGGTTTTTTGATCGTCTTCGGTATCTTCAAGTAACAATACTCGAGTACTCGAATGGTTACTTTTTCAACATCACTATTGACCTCTATTAATTTTTCTTAACAGTCTTAAAAAATTCCCTTGGTATAGTTCAAAAGAAGATAGAACACAGAAACTTCCATAGAGTAAAGTACAAAGCCGATCGTTTAGCCAATGAGACATTCATTGGCCAGTATCTCCGAAACTACTGGTTATTCGACTTTGGCGCAATGGCAACTTTTAATCAGTAAGGCTTCCTCTAAACAATATTAAAAGTTCAGGCAATTCCCACATAGATCACATTTCCATAAGGTTTGAGCGGGGTCCTTTATTTATTTTAAACAGTTTATTACTTTAATTTATATTTACTAAATACAGTAATTTATTTTATAACTAATTTATTTGTACTTGATACTATTTATATCTCGAACACTTATACTCGTATACTAATTTATCTTTACACAACAATATATATCCATATACTGACTAAAAATAAAATAATTTATTTATATACAAATATGAAAGTTCGCCAAGTTTCTACCGTTTATGGTACCTGGAATTTCGTATCATTTATCGAATACTCTAGTATATTCAAGACTGTTTATCGGCGGTGGACATATAGGCGTCCTATTTACCATAGTCGTCCGAAAATGGCTTGCACGACAGTATATTATGCAGCTTTTAGCTTCAAAAAGTGACGATTTGGTGTTTTTATAACTTGTAAAGGTAATCGTATTTCAAAAATGTTATTATTACTTTTTCGACCCAGAAATCACCGTGAGGAGAAGGGTTTTTTTGTCGAAACGTACAAACCTAGCAATCTGTCAGCTGCCGTCATCAATTTCGCATGACTTAGTTTGCCCGAATCTTTCTTAGACGAGTTTCTCTCTCACAGCACAACACATGTGATATAAATATTGGATTGGATATTAGCTATTCTACGCACAGACTACAAAATGAAAAAGTATACCATTGCGTTCAACTGAACGAATATATTTCATATCCATTCTACCTAGTAAGAACACTGCAAAAAATGAAATCCAACAATCACAGTTTATATTTTCGACACCCGGCTGCTATTATTTTTAAAATTTTAAATAAGTGTCAATTCTGTCAAATTAATTGTTAGTATATTTTTTAGTTATTGAAATTAAATATACATTAAAACGAATTATTCTTGTGTAGAATCGATATTTAAAAATAAATTATTTTAACCAAACTATATGAAACTAATTTAATTACGAGTATTAAAACTAAAATGGTAAAAGTGTCTCCATGGAGGTGAGACCAAGGCGTTTTGCTGCTTTGCGAGAGGCCCGGGTTCAAATCTAGGCTGGGACTAATTACAATTAATCTTGTTTTTCATATTTACTTTATTTTATAAATTAGTAAAAGTCATAAATTATTTCAAAATTAGTTATTTTGTTTTAATAACCAAAATTTATAAAATTTGTGGATTTTTGTTAGTGGGTCGTAGAAAAAATATACTGTACAACTTAAGTGGATTCTCCATATCCACTCTTGTTGCACAAACTACTATTTTATTCGCTTTTTTCGGCCCATCCTAACACACAGTATAAAATAAAATTATTATCTTTCTGTAACTAGATCATTAAAAGATGATAGGTACCTAACAATATTGTGTAAAAAATAGTAATGAAGAGAAAATTAAATAAAAAAAATCCATATTTTAAGAAAAAAAGAGATAAGGGATATCCATATTTCCAAGTACAAAACAGGCTCAAACATTAAATTCTTATATGTCCAGTCTCAATTCTTACACATATATTTAACTAGCGGACCCGACAAACGTTGTCCTGTCTTAACTATGAATATTGATTTCGAATTGGTATAATTAACTAAAAAAATATTTCAGAAACAAAGTGTTTATTATTCTAATGCAAACACAACAAAAAAAAAAGAATTAGCGAAATCGGTCCAGCCGTTTACGCGTGATGCCGTGACCAAGGGAAATAGGGATTCATTTTTATAATATAGAAATTTTCTAATTTTCCGCGCAATTTTCTTAATTTTTTCTTTCATAAGAACCTTCTGACAATAACAAACAACAAAAAAAGAATTAGCGAAATCGGTCCAGCCGTTCACGCGTGATGCCGTGACCAATGGAAATAGGGATTCATTTTTATATATATAGAAATTTTCTAATTTTCCGCACAATTTTCTTAATTTTTTCTTTCATAAGAACCTTCTGACAATAACAAACAACAAAAAAAGAATTAGCGAAATCGGTCCAGTTGTTCACGCGTTATGCGCTTACCAACACAGTTTGCGATTCATTTTTATATTATAGATTTTCTAATTTTCCGCGCAGTTTTCTTAATGTTTTCTTTCATAAGAACCTTCTCCTGACAATAACAAACACAACAAAAAAGAGAATTAGCGAAATCGGTCCAGCCGTTCACGCGTTATGCTCTTACCAACACATTTTGCGATTCATTTTTATATTATAGAAGATAAATATTCAAAAAGATACACTTTTTATAGGTACCCACACTAAAATCCATTCATAGAAAATATAATTTATTTTTACCTACCTCATAATATAAAGATAATGATAATGACGAGTTCGTGATTTTAGACCAATATATCTGTAATTTGATTATTAATAAATATTTCGTTAAAATATTATTAAGAATATATGTAGAAGGTTGGCTACATGTTTATTTATTTTTTTTGGGTCATGTTTATGCAATGTTTTCCTTTATTGTGTATACTTTTCATACAAGTTAGAGGTAAGTTTTTAATTAAAAGTTTTATAAAATCACTAGGTACCAACTTATAACAGTAAAAAAATATCTTACATTTTTGTATATTGTACATCCATTTGAAATACAGCGGCATATTCTATCTTGTAAGCGTTTCTATTAGGCATTCCAACGACCTGTCAAACAATAGGTGCCAGTGGGAAATTCTTGTATATTTAAGGGGGGGGTAGCGACATAGTCTTGCAACTTGGACGCTATTTTTATTCGAAGTAGTAGTCGCCAAGCCTGCCAATTTATGAAGAAATGTATAGGTGGGTTTTTTAAATATTATTTTTATTGTGTTTGACATAAAATATTTAAATATAATCCATTATTCATGATTTTACGTAAAGTAGATAGAATACACCGTATGTCGCCACCCTTAGATATACCAAACCTTCCCACTGGCAATTCATTTGTTTGGAATGCCTAATTAGGCATTACAACGTCCTGTCCAAAGGCTACCAGTGGGATCTCAGATAAATAAATAAATAATAGATACAGCCCTATCATGCAATATTTGTAACCAGCATCTTCCCTCACTATATAGCAGTGGTTACACGACTTGATTGGATATTCGCTATTTTGGTTACACACCTGATTGGTTAGCAAAAAATTGACAGGAATACGTTAGTTAGGTTAGTTATTTTATGGTTATTTTGTGGTTCATTTTGAGTTTATTTCGTACTTTAATTGAAAAATGTTTGTGGTTTAAGTTATTTTGGTGCATTTAATTGCTTAAAAATGCCAGTGAATTGTATTGTGTGCTCGAGAAAGTATCTCAAGTTCAGTTCGATAACGTTTCATAGGTAAGTAAATAAAAACCATTACCGTTGCATCACACTTTTTTGAGGGGTATCATAATTCAAAATAAGGTTTAAACAACAACAATTTATTTTAAAGTTTAAAATAACATTCAACGTCGAATTTCGAATTATTTTATTGTGCCTGTGTTTAATAACTTTGAATTTATTAATAGGCTATATTTAAATTAAAGTTATATTGTTATGCACACTGTACATTTAAGAAGGCTCTAGTGGCATTCACTTTAGTTATAAAATCTTAGTATTGCTTTATTTTAATGACAAAATATATTGTTAGAACACCATAGTTATTTTAAAGTATACTATGTTGCATTCTGTATTACATGAAATCCTACCTACATATATGAATAAGAAAACACTATTTATACCTATTTAGGTTTCCAAAGATCCTCAGATATATGTGGATGAAGAGTTTGGGTATACGTGAGGATGAAGAGTGTATTCAGTAGAATTTGTTCAAGACATTTTGAGGATTCTGCCTTTGCTAAGTCTCCAGGAGGAAAAATGTTTTTAATGAAAGGAGTAATGCCCTTATTTTACTCACATCCTGAAGCTGTTCCTCAACTGGAAACTATGTCACATTCTGAACCTTTTATATCTGAAACTAAGTAAGTATTTGAACAAAAACTATAAATAATAAAATTGTTTTTTTGTCTTTGTCTAATTAATTTGAATATTCTAAGTATTAGTACGGGAACAAATAAATTTTGTAATTTTTTAATTACCTACCTATTCATGTTATTTTAATATATGTAATTATTATGATATGTTTTCTTATTGTTTAAATTAAAAAAAGGTTTCATTTATCTCAAGTGAATGTATATTATATTTACTTATTATATAGTTACACGTCACATAATTAATTTAATTTGTAAATTGTGTAGTAGGAAAATGGTTGCCAGTATCGCATCATCCTGGAAATATCTAATTCGTATATTCTTGGAGACTTGTCTCGATTCTGCTTACGATCCTTTAAGTCTTTCAAAGTCATTCGTTTTTTCCACAGGTACAGTCTGAAGAACATCTAAAGCATCCCCTTGAAAGGCGATGGTCACATTTTCTGACTTTTCTCGTTCAAACGTCCACGACGAGATTAAAAAAGAATTGGGCAGTATAAGAACGGATAATTGGATCAATCTCTTAAGGCTAAGACATGCTAAGATACTTCTGGGCGAATATAACCAGGAAACCATGGCAGGAAACATCGGAAGCCTGTGTGAGATCTGTATACACATTTATAAATGGTAATGTTAGTACCCGTGACGCCATCTATGTTTCAGCTTCATATAAGTGTTTCTCCTTATATCACAGTCATCTGTAGTCTGTGACCCCGTAGGATTATAGATCGTACGTAGATGCCGCCACGAGTACTAAATAAGAATCAGATGCGCATTGTCTCGCATTACAAGTTCGTATTTCATCTTGAGTTTTGTCTTGTATTATAACCATTACTGAATTACTGTGTTTATCAGAATACCAGAGAATAAAAGCTTGCAACAAGGTGTTGTTTTATTAAGTAGTGTATAAATAAGGCATACATCACAGCCTGCATCTGCCTGAGCAAGAACAGGCTTCATATTGTAACAGGGATCCTTATCGGGCATTATCGACTTAAAGGACACCTTAGTAAACTGAGAGTAGTAGAGGATAGTGAGTACAGATTCTGTGAGAAGGAGGACGAAACCTCCATTCACATTCTAACTGAATGTGTAGTACTCCAGAATCCAAGGGCACTATGCCTAGTAGGAGGATATCAAATAGAAAAGAGAGAGAGATTTACCTAACACGAAGCCACTCCAAATCCTACACTTCCTTGAGAAGATAGGATTGGAAGGATCGTTATAGGCATTGAGACATTTCCTTGGTGCATTAGCGACAGAAGGGGGCACAATAGATCTTTTAGGTCGCAGTGTATTAACACCCCATTCCCAACAACATCTCAAGTGAATGTATATTATATTTACTTATTATCACGTCTCATAATTAATTTAATTTGTAAATTGTGTGGTAGGAAAATTGTTGGGTTTTATTTATCTGTAGTTAATGAATATTAGTTTTAGTTATCTAGGTACCTGTCACATAATTATTTGATTTATAAATTATGTGAAAGGAAAATTGTTGGCAACTAAATTATTATTATTATAATCACCCCATTATCCATTATTAATTGTTATTAAACCAAATGAGTACAATAACACAACGTCTCTAAAAAATTGCTTAACGTTGTTCTATTTCTAACTGACAAGAATTCATCGAAATTAAGTTTTATTATTCAAAATATTGTGTATTAGAAAACCTTGGCAATATTTTAAAACGGTATGAACTTATCATTTATTACATAAGTATCGCTTTATTCTAAACTGTTATTATAACATTTGTCTTTGTTTTGTTTTCCAGATCTAACCCATTATAAATACCTATAAATATCTATTATAAAAATTGTTTTTTTAACCCTACTTTCCTAATTATTAAAAACCATAAATATTTTGGCACAAAATTTAATTAACTTAAAACAGATATTGGGGTCTATTCTGTAAAAATTCCTTTATATTTAACGGCCTTTAAAAATATTGTCGGCCTTTAAACATATGTTCGTATTCGTTAATTTACTTCTGTCATTATTTAAACAGATTTCTTTAAGATAGTCCTCTAATGTATTTTAAAGATTCGTTTAAATAATGACAGAAGTAAAGAATAAAATATTTTTAAAGGCCGTTAAATATAAAGGAATTGTTACAGAATAGACCCCACTTTATTCTATTTTTTATTACATATATAAGCGGTACTCATAATAAATCAATAAAAATAATTTACAAAAGAATCGATATTATTAAAAAATAGTACAAAAATTTAGAATTTATAAAACATATCATTGCAACGTTTATTCAAATTATTTGTGTATAAAAATAATGTATGTTTTTAATTTAAAAAATATATGTATTGGTCGACTGAAAAATTCATTTTTGACGGTTTTCTATAAACATCTTAAATTAGAAACGTTGATCCATTGAAATATCTCAAAACTAATAAATCAAAAGCATTTCTATTGACATTTATTTGATACGCTACTGGATAATAAAACTAACAAACCCCGCTCTTCCCCTCCTAAAAACTGGCTTGTATATGTTGCTTTCAAACAAACGCAATGTAAATTTTTGACATTCAGTTATCTATTATTATTTATTTATCTGAGAGTGGGATCTGATAGTTTAGATATGACAACCCTGTGGGCAAGTTGTCATTAACAGGGCCAATGATACCTATATATTTATATAGAATGCTCAAAGCGGGTCGTTTGCGAGCGGCCATATTGCCTGGCTAATTTGAATCGGTTTAGCAAAAATGTGTTTTAAAACCAATTTTCAGTCTTTGAATATTTAAAAAAACTAATTGTCTACAATTTTATTTCAAAGCATAAGCTTATTTTTATTTTTAAAACCATGGATGATCAATCTATATAACTGTCTATATCAATGACCCTATCAAACCACCAGGCTTACATTGTTGCCATATTATAACCTATCATGTACCTGTCAGTGGCCTGTCATTTCAAACGAGCAGCCATATTGTTTGGAATGCTTAATTATAATTTATTTTTTACTTGAATTATTTTTTGGATTTTTAAGTATGAAATTCTAAAGCTGATGTTAAAATAAATTCAATCAATTATGAACATGTTGTACCTATATACCTACCTAATCTTAATAATGAACCAAATATTCAATTAAAATAGCTGTGTTTAACAAGACAGGGAAGTAAAATTCATTGCAGCTTTAAGAAGCTTTTACTAGTGTAAAAATAATACAGGTATCACTATTTTGTAGCTAATTCGGAAATTGACAACCACCCAGCTTGGAAATTTATTCCAACAGATGTATGTGGTGTTACGAGATATGTTCATAATTCGGGAAGAATTATAAATGGAAAAAACGCAAAATTGGGACAATTTCCCTGGATAGCTAGACTAGGATTCCAGAACTTCTTTACGAGAAGGATTAAGTTTAATTGTGCGGGAACTTTAATAACAGAGATACATGTAATAACTGCTGGTCATTGTGGAAGTAGTCATGATGTGTAAGTAGCATTTATACAGGGTGTAAGGATATTCGACCGACAAATGCTCTACCCACTGAATTATAACCGTTACAGAACGCTATTCCTAATACTAAACAGTGTTGCCAAAATTGTAATAAATTTAAAGAAAATGTACTAGACGTTTTAGTCAACGTAAAGTGTGTTTTTTCTTTCTTTAGTTTTTTGCACTATTTGTGTACATAGCGGTAGTCGAAGCTTCTGGTTTCTTTATTACAAATTTAATAAGTTATTTATAATATAGAATTAAAATCTGTTTGCAAAAATATCAGAACATATCTAAACAAACTTAGCTACAAAAACTAAATCCATAATTAAATAATAACAAAATTCCCTTCGCCCCTGACCATAAAAATGTAAATCAGTACGTTATATGCCGCGTTTGAGAATCCACATCGGATGCATTTTTTACATCGGACACATCTGTACCATTACATTTAAGGGCCGATTCCACCGTTGTCTTAAACGAAGTTTAAAATGACATGTTCACATTAGCAATTTCATTTTAATCTTCGCTTAGTTATTTAAACTTCTTTTTAACACAACGGTGGAATCGGCCCTAAGTATACTAAATCACGTGATCAAAGATTTACTACATCTCAGATGCATCCGATGTGGATTCTCAAACGCGGCATTATTATATTATTTGTTTAGAGTAAACGGTAAAATCAAAATCCAAATACCACGGTTAGGTTAAATCGTTACGTTCGTGAAAATGTAATAAGATTTACTGAAAATGTAATAAAATTTACTGAAAATGTAATAGATTTACTGAAAATGTAATAGATTTACTGGAAATGTAATAATGTTATAAACCCTTTATGTAATCGATTTGTTACAATAATTGTAACAAACTGGCAACACTGATACTAAAAAGTGCGCCGTTTTGATTTCGCGCATAACGTTACTTTCAGATTTATAATCATGCGCAGTAAACAACTGTCATAGCCATTACGTTATGGCCAGGGCCGGATTTATTTATTAAATTCATTTATGCATTTTGATATACATGAGAATGTCACAGCGAAATGACGTCATTCCATATCGTCATTTTGACGGATCGATATCACGTTAAAGTAACATGTATATCGGGTGTCCTAGGCTAGGCAAATTGACGTCATTATCACGAATCTACCTAACGTCAAAGTGACGTCTATATTGAGTGTCCCAAGGTTGGATGAAATTATTAAAAATACTAAGCAGATGAAAGTTATTTATTTAATCCAAAAAACGCATGAAATATATATTATAAAAAATAAATTACACTGGTAAATAAAAAAGTCATGAGCAAGAAACCAAAAGGAATAAAATTAAAAAAGAATATTAGAGAAACTGACTCAACATACCTAAAATTGTAGATTTGATTTTAATTGGGGGTGGGCTAGCATGCTTTACGATTTCATCATCTTCAGTATCATCGAATGACAGCTTTCTAGTTGGCACCTGTTCTTTTAGTAGGTACTTTATCAGCCTTGGAATGTAGATCTGAGGTAACTTCGACTTTTTTTAATTAGGTACATCACTTATCATTATCATCTAAAATAAAAGGACTATTAAAATACAGACCACTGAAAATTCTTAAAGATAGAAAGTAAATTGTGTATCTAGTTGTAAAAACTATCTTCTCAGGGGTATACATATAGTCTGAGTTTATAATAAAAGTTAATTAAAAAAAAGAACATATATTCTGTGAGATGATAAAAGGTATCTAAATCAAGTGTTGTCACATTCTATTTTTTACCTTTTTCTAAAACATCTTATCAAATAAAGTACAATTTAAAAATGCACCACGTTCACAAGGTTCCGGCTGTCACTCACGAGAATCATGAAGATAGAGGAAACAGGAAACAACAATGACAATATGACATTGCCAGAAATATACGAAAAAATAACGTATTTATGACGAATTCTAAGTGATGTCTATTCTATGTCATCAATGCGACGTCAAATATACGTTACTGATTAGGATATTGTATTTTGGATAAAGTCATTAATTGGGATAGTGACGTTTCTGACGAGTAAACCCAAAAAATCACGTCATAATGACGGTACCTTGCTGCTTGAGTATCTGTTAACTAGCTCACAATTATTAATAAAAAATATTTGAAAATAGATTTTTAGAAGTTCGAAAGTTAATAAGAAAGCTTAATCTAAATCAGGCTGACGGCTGTCTAATCGCACCTTTTAAAACTCACAAACGTATAGCTTCACTAGTTTTGCAAAAATATTGTACGATTCGCAAAATATATTTTTATATAGGTTATTAATACGATAAATAAAATTGAACTTACTGGTATAATGGCGGTTTATTATTTACAAAACAAGTACCATACATTTCCGCAACATTCTAAAACTGTCCTCTGATTTTGGGTTAAATAAAACTAAGTCATTACTGTAGGATGTCCACACAAACACAAATTTCGAATAATTTTAAAACCAGAAAATTTCAACACAGCAGAAACAACTAAAACTAAACAAGCAAAAAGCACAAAAATGTTCACTAGTGTGCTTTTGGGCTAAAGTTATCCCTGTTCATGCCGACCAACGTCATGGCTACTATGTAAGTATGAAGACTAGATAAGAGGCGAATCGGCCCCATAAAATGAACGCTGATTGAGCTTTCTTAATTCACCGCTAGGGCATTGGTGCTAGTAGCGCTGTTCGAAATACATGGCTTCTAATGGGAATTTTACATAATTTTGTAAAAATAATAAAAACAAACTTGTTTATAGCTAAATATGCTGTTGTATTTATTTCTAAATAAGTCTTGCATGTTTTAATTGATAAATTATTTAATTTTATCTATATAAAATGCAAATTAGGTAGGTATGACCAAAATCGAAAAGATTTGTTAAATGGTGAAATTTGGAAAGTACAATTTTATTATTGTAATAATATAAGCATAAAGGGAAATTTGGGAATGTACCTTACATTGACCCATCCTTTAATTTCGGCTTTCCCTTTTTTATTTTGCTAAGAGTAACATCAGTACAATGAGTGTCATAATATTTAGAATTATTGTAACGGGCTTCTGGTTCACCTACAGTGAATTACAAAGTCTGTGTGGCGTTAAGTTGCTAAAAACAGATTAGGAGTTACTCGGGCGCCAGTTTTAAGCATTAAAAAGACATTTAATTGATTTCCCCTTATGTTTTCTTTAGTTTTATATCTGATTTGTATCCTGTTTTACAATCTGGAACAAAGTAAATCTTGCTTTAATGTTTTTTGTCACTCATGTTACTTATACTGAGGTTCTTTTTTTCACATTATTTTGATTCTTTTAACCAAATTTTTAAAAAAACACTTCAGGTTCGACCTGCAAACTACAGTCAATTTAGCGACTTTATAAAAAGGACAGAAATTTGATCATTGTCGATTCGCCTCCTTATCTCTAGTCTTCATAGTCATACGCATATGGTACAGGACTTTCAAAATAAATATCCTTTATATCCAGTAATAGTTACAGTTCAGTGGGTCTACCTCAGAGATCTTTCGTTAATTGATGAACTTTGATATAAGAACATGGACTCTTAAAGGGCTTAGTTACCGAGATAAAGGGTGTTAAAAGTTTGAAATGAAAATGCAAAATTTGTCAAAAATCAAAAATTGTTTTTTCAAATTCTGAGACTCATGTGCTCTTTGAGGAAGTAATATTTTGATATAAACTAACTTTTGAAAAATTTAACTATTGGCGCGCTATCAAGGTTAGTGGCATATTTTTCCTCCTACTTGAACAAACATTTTTTTAATAATTTATTTATAATTCTTTATTTATTTTTAGTAAAAAGAAATAACCTTTTATGGAGCTAAAATGAACGGTATTGTAAAAATTTGCTTCTAACCAAAAGTCTAGTTGTAACGACCCAATATTTAAAAATTCTAATCTAGTAAGCACGTGTATAATTTTTAACAGTTCGTGTATGATAAGATTTTGGTAAATCAAATTTGAAAAATATATTTTAAGACGTTTTTTGATTTAATTTATGGCAAATTTTGAATTCTGATTTAAAACTTTTAACACCCTATATCTGTGGTAGAGCGTTGTTGGTCAAATATACTAACTCCCTGTATATATTTTTTAATTTCAGTGTGAGACTGGGAGAACACGATACAACCACAAAGTTTGATTGTACCGAAGATGATATCTGTACAACTTACCAAGACATTAATATAAAAAAGTATATTTTTAACAAATTTGATAAAGAAAAACTAAATCACGATATCTGTTTGATTCTTTTGGAAAAACCAGCTAAATTTAACGGTAAGTATTTTTTAATTTACCCTAACTGTACTTTTATACAGGGTGTGCCGTAAATATACCAACAAACTTTTAGGGGTAGTAAGGAGACACGAACATATTTTTTGTCTAATAAATAAGGTGTTAAAGTAAGTTAAAATATGTTACAAATGTTTTATCAAATTTCAATGAAATTTCCAAAATTTGTTGAGGTCTTAATCAGGTATATTTTGTACTTGTTAGCGCTTATCCAAAATGTCCATAGGTGTTCCCACGGGACAAGTCTTATCGGATACAAAGTGTTTTCGGAAATGTGTTTATTAAGGAAAAAAAATTTATTTTGATGTCCTCTACTACCTCTAAAAGTTTTTTCGCCTACCATATGTGAAAATGAATCATATCAACCCTAAAAATATGACCGAAAGTAACGTATATCGTCCCATGGGCTGCTAAACTCATAAAAGCCCGATTTTGTAATTTTTCTCTAGATATCTAGATACCTCTGACCAAATAATATCCAAATTGTTTTAGTATCATCATGTATGTTAGATACTTCTCCATTATAGTTGTTTTTATAAAATATTTTAACGATGTCATAATTATTACTTTTTATTTGAAAGCATTTGACTGATTAATTTTTTACACACTTTAAAATATATTTAAGAATATTCTTTTTTTATTCTGTCAGTGTGTATACACCTACAACTTGCTAGTAATTTATAGTTGTGTTTGTTATGGAGTTTTTTCTGCTAAAAAATATGTATCTATCATACTTCTCAGATTTACTATTTATTTCCAGTTACAAGATCCCAAAAACCATACTGCACATTAACAAATCGCATGTATACCTACTGAGGTATGCGTTTCATAGGTCACTTAACTTTCATTCTTGCCTAACACTTTTTTATATTGCCTAACACTCCTTTCACTTACCTTAACACCCCTCTCACTTGCCTAACACCCCTTTCATTTGCCTAACACTCATTTCTAACTTGCCTATTTATTAATATTTTTAGATTTTGTTAAACCAGCTTGTTTACCGCGAGGTACTCTCTTGGATTTAGATTTAATTGGCATACATGCTCATATAGCTGGATGGGGTTACACAAATAGTACACTGGAGACTGAGGCTACTACGTTACAATATATTTCAGTGCCGATAGTCGATTCTAGTAAATGTGACAAAATTTACGTACATCAGTTGACTGAATACCAATGTTGTGCCGGATACCCCAAAGGTAAGTCAAACTTTGTTTAAAATAAATAACTCAAATCGCAGCTAGGAAAATAGGAGAGTAATAGAATAATATTGATAAATCATTTTAAATCTACGACGAACCATCTAGGGGAGATAGGGGTAAGATGAAAATTAAAATACAAAGAAAGGTAATTAATTTAAAAGTTAAATACATATCAGTACAAACATGTTCATTGTTCTATTACTGGGTTCATGACTTTGTATAACGTTAATCTTACTCATACCCGGGCTAAGTTGACGAACCTATGTAAGACAAAAATCACAACATAAACTGCCAAAACCCTCATTGCTGCTGTATGCTTCGTGCCACTATGACATACAATGAGAACATTGCAACTAATTTTCAGATGGTGGGTCGCTATATCCTTCCTTACATGCAGGGCAAAAATATTGAAACTCACTACTGGGACCTACAATATCCGTAGCACTGGGATGATCAGAGCTGAGACCAGCAGTACTGGGACCAGCAGAATTGGGATCTGCAATATAAGCAGTACTGCAAAATGTTTTTCGACGTTTTTGTCCTCTATTTTCTTGAACTGCAGATTTCTTCTGTACTTTCAGTTGTTTCTTTTCTTGTTTTAATTTTTTTTCTCCTTTTCTTCAATCTCTCTTTGTTTTTTTTTTTTAGTTGTAACTTCATTGGAGTTCCAGACAATTTTTTTCCAGGGTGTGAGGACCTTTCAGATATTGCAATTGGCCTAAGGTTCCAAATAGTAGGAAGGGGCTCATTTGAAGTATCTTTATCTGAAAAAAGTTGACGTTTATGTGTCTCTATTTGACCTTTGGTTGAAGTTTGAAATTGTTGGTGAGTACTGCAGCAGTGGTATGCGTAGATCGGTAGAGATACGTTGTAAATGTTTTAAATAAAGATTAAGATCAACTTTTTGACAACCCTTTTTATTTTTCTATTTTGTCACACTATATATATTAGTTAACAACATACATAACTACTAACTACAAAAATAAACACTTATAATATAAGTATCACAGAACATATTCTAACACCCCCTCTTGATGTGATACTTCTAAGTTACAAGTCCTATCAACTGAATATTTTTTTTCAATTTGTCGGGCGTCAAAGATTTGGTTAGCATGTCGGCGGCCATTTCATCTGTTCTGACTGAATGGAATTGGACTTCACTGTTTAGACATTTTTCTCTTACAAAATGATACTTGATGTCTATGTGCTTTGTTCTTGGCCTAAAACATTCACTTTTTGCGAGATCCACAGCACCTTTATTGTCACAGTAAATAACAATATTGCTTTGAAATTGTCCAATTATTTCACCCAATAAACTCTTTAGGAATATAGCCTCTTGGGTTGCATTTGTAAGGCTCATGTACTCAGCTTCAGTAGTGGATAACGCAACTGTAGACTGCTTTTTTGACATCCAGCTTATAGCTCCTGTACTGAGGACAAATACATAACTTGCTGTTGATTTTCTGTCTTCTAAATCACCTGCCCAATCAGAGTCGCTATATCCATGCAAAACATCATCATTTTTCTTGTACAATAACTTGTAATTGGAGGTTTTTCTTAGGTATCGGAATACCCTTTTGACTCCTTGCCAATGTTCTTTACCAGGATTCTGGCTAAATCTGGCCAGCTTTCCTACAGCGAAACAAATATCAGGACGTGTGCACTGTGCTGCATACATAAGGCTTCCTATAGCTTCCTGATAAGGAAAACTTGCCATTGCTTCACGTTCTGCAGCAGTTTGTGGCATCATTTCTTTAGTTAGCTTTTGATTGTAATCCATGGGGGAGTTTATTCCATGGCAATTAGTCATTCCAAACCTGGCTAGTATTTCTTCAATGTATTTTTCTTGATCTATAGTAATGGTACCAGCTTCAAGATCCCTATGTATTCTAATTCCTAGACAATAATGTATTTCACCTAGGTCCTTCATCTGGAACCTCTTCGATAGTTCTTCTTTTAAATACATTTTTTGCTTATCATCGTCTGAGAATATAATAATATCATCTACAAAAACTGCTAAAATAATGCGCTTTCCATCTGTACAATTAAAATATATACAGGGGTCATACTTAGATTTTTGAAAGTTTATATCTTTCAGGGCAGAGTCTAATTCTTGATTCCATGCTCTGCTTGCTTGTTTGAGCCCATATAAAGCTTTATTTAGCTTGCATATTTGACCATCAGGCAGTTCCATATAAATTTCTTCTTTTAATTTTGGGTGAAGAAAAGCAGTAACAACGTCCATTTGGTCAACTTGCCAGCCAAATTTTGCAGATAAGGCTAATAACAGTCTAATTGAACTGTATCTGACAACTGGGGAATATGTTTCTTCATAGTCGATACCCTGTGTCTGCGAGTACCCTTTTGCAACAAGACGTGCTTTGTATCGCTCTATTTCTCCAGTTGCAGTTAGCTTTGTCTTGAAAACCCATTTACTCTTTACTGGTTTTCTATGTGGTGGGAGTTCACAATTAGTCCAAGTATTATTTTTCTTATGAGCTCTTAATTCTTCTTCCATCGCTTCCACCCAATATGTAGAGTTTTCACTGGACAAGGCTTCTTGAATCGATTTAGGATCACTTGAAGATTCGGTCATAACTTGATATATATAGTCTTCATTAAATATTCTTTTATTAGGAACTCTTACTCTAGTAGATCTTACGTTTTTAATTTCAGATTCCTCGGGGTTTTCTGTCTCAGATATTATTTCTGTTTCTGTCTCGGTTTCGGGTTCTGTTTCTGATTCACAGTTACTCAAATTATTTTCACATGTAGAGTCCCCCTCTTCAACAGGAGTTTCTATTAACTGGAACTGCTGTTGAATATCGTTTTGTGAAAAATTATTGGGTAATTCAGAGTTATATACGTCCGATTCTATAAAGACAGCATCTCTTGCTAGTATTAATTTCTTTGTTTGAGAATGGATAAAGCGAAAACCTTTAACATTTTCACTGTACCCTACAAAAATATATTCTTCAGCTTTTGGATCTAGTTTTTGTCTTTTTTCTTTTGGAATATGAATAATTGCTTTACATCCAAAAACATGTAGATGAGATAAATCTGGTTTTATTCCAGACCAGGCTTTTTCAGGGGTCATTTTGTCGAGAGCTTTAGTTGGAGCACGGTTTTTAAGATAAGTAGCAGTATTTACAGCTTCAGCCCAAAACTCTTTACCAAGGTTTGAGTTTATTAACATACTACGGGTATACTCAACTAAGGTTCTGTTTAACCTTTCGGCCACACCATTTTGTTGGGGACTGTACGGAACTGTCATCTCGTGCTTTATACCATGTCTTTTAAGATACTCTTGTAAAGGTTTGTTCTTATATTCGGTTCCATTATCGGTTCTTAGGCATTTAATGTTGTTTCCAGTTTCTTTTTCTACGGCAGCTTTATATTCCATAAATTTTTCATAAACTTCTGTTTTAGACTTTAAAAAATAAACTGCTGATTTTCTACTAAAATCATCTGTAAATGTAAGGAAATACTTCGCACCACCAATGGATTTTTAAGATAAAGGACCGCAAAGATCTGAATGAACTAATTCAAGACGATTTCTGGCTCTTCTACTTGCAGACTTTTCAAATGGTTTTCTGCTAGATTTTCCTTTTATGCAAATTTCGCATTGATTACTGACATTTTCTGTAGGAAAATTTAGACCAGACGAAATGTTTCTGAGAAGTTTCATATAACCTTGATTTAGATGTCCCAACCTAGCATGCCAGAGCTTGAAGTTATCTTCTTCATTTACAGAATTTGCTAACAAAGGAATACAATTTAATCGATACATGCCATTTACTTCTGATGCAGTACCAATTACGTCTTTTGGATTAAGTTGAAATTTATTACTTGTAATACGGCAACCGTATTCTTTGTCAAAAATTATTGAATTACCATGTTTAACCATTTGGCTGACAGAAAGCAAGTTCATAGTTATCCCAGGGGAATGGACAACATCGTGAATAATTCCGGTTCTGTTATTTTCTAAACATAGTTCGACATCTCCTTTGCCTGTGCATTGTATTTTTTTGTCCATTAGCAACTGAAAGAGTTTTACCGAATTCTTCTTGGAAATTTTTCAAATAACTCTTTTCAGAGGTAAAAAGAGCTGTGGCTCCTGAATCAACGAACCATTCATTTGCAGAAAATATTGTAGAATTGCATGTTAAGGCGACTGGTGCCATTGCAGTTTTTTCTTTTTTTGGTTTTGTACAGTTGATGGCTTTGTGATTGTAGCCATTGCAGTTGTAACACCGGATACCTTTTCTAAATCTATACGGTTTCTGACTGGTTGATTTACTGGAAAGTGCTAATTCTTGGTCTTTTGCTTCAATTTCTTTAACATTTTGTTGCAATAACAGATTTTTAACAAATTCGGTGGATGTTACTTGTTTTGAGCCTTGAACTCCAAGTATTAAAGGTTTATATTCTTCAGGCAACCCACCTAATATAATTCCACCAACAACATTGTCTTTAAAAGGCTCTCCTATATTCTCTAATTGCTCAGCGATTTGAATAATTTTATTTACATAATCTTCCATTGATTTACACATTTCAAATCGGATTTTAAACAAACGAGAATAAAGGCCAATCAAACGAACAACACCAGAGTCTTCATAAACACTTCGCAGCTTGTCCCACGCTTCTTTAGCTGAATTGCACCTCTTGGTTTCTGCAGCTGCACATGGTTTTAAGGACAAATTTATTTTTGCTAACGCCCTTTGATCTGTAACTGGATCGACAGTCTCTCCTGCTTGAGGCTCTATACAGCACCACAGTCCGGCATCTACCAAGAAGTTTTTAATCCAGAACTTCCAGTCTTGGTAATTATTGCCATCAAGATGTCTATTTTCTGGTAAACCTCCAACTGCTGTGGACACTATAGTAGATTTCTTAGAGCTTAATTCTTTTCTGAGCTGATCTAATTCGGCTTTCAGTTCCTCCATTTTTCTTTTTACAAGACTGAAGAAAAAATGTCAGAATTTCTTTTTTGCAAT